ATTTGTAGATTGTATTATTGGTGAAAATTGTAGTGGGAGAGAAATTGTAAGAAATAATTCATTAAAAAAGCCACAAGGTAACCATGCTTTTAATTTGTGATTAGTGTTACTTCATGTTAATTGGGTGATTATTGAGAAAATTATGAATTTGTAATATTGTATAATTGTGCAATATTATTATGAATTTGTTTGATTATTGTGGGAGGTGTTGGGAGACTTGCTATTATTGTAGTTTTTATGTGCCACGTGGTACGCCCCTATTGGAGCTCAATAGGTGGCTTGTAAGGGCTCGGGCTAATTTACCTTTGGCCGGATAATTTAGCACCGAGTGAGGGCTACAGCTCGAGGTTAATGGAGGGATATAAGGATAGTTGTTTGTATGTATTGTAATATTTCTTATAATTGTTGGAATTATATTATTTTTAATTTTTACTTAATAAGCACACACTTAACTGTTTGTATACACTATCATAAATTGGCTTTGGTTACTGGGACTTTGAGTCTCATTATGTGGTTAACAATTTTCAGGAGAAAAGCCACGAGTGACACGTGGAGGAGTCTCAGAGGCTTAGTGGCATAGATCCACTGTCTCTTTTGGGTATTTGATTTATGATTTAAAATGTGTTATATTGCCAATATTAGGGCTTTTTATTTATTGTCAATTATATGAATATATAAATGTAATCATGCCTTTCAAATTATTTCTATTTTTAGTACAATTAGATGACTGTAATTTTAATATTTGGTTTATTTTGGACTGGTTAAAATGACATGATTATAAAGACAAATAACTGGCTTGTGTTCAAAATTGACTAAATTGCTTATTTTACTCGTTGGGAGTATAAGGATGGACAAATGTGATTTAGTTTACTTGTTGGGAGTATAAGGATGGACAAATGTAATTTAGCCTAAAGGCATGTGAGAGGTAAAAATTTATCTGAAATGTTATATTGTGTGAGTTGAAGCTAATTATAAAATATTTTATATTAAAATTATTGATATAAAAATGTGTTGGGTGGCTGTAACCCAACTATGGTTAAGTTAAATTATTTAAAAAAAAAAATTGGTGTGTTACAGTTCATGAATGAAAACGAACCTTAGCCTTTTATTTTATTTTTTCTATTCTTGAGCCAATTTCAATTTTTACCTAAAACATTAAGATTTTTAAAGCAACATAACATTACAACGCCCTTTTTTTTTATGCTTTCTAGTACATGAGACCAAGTATTGAAAAAGTAAGATTAAGCCATATATGTGTAAGTATTGAAAAAGTAAAAATGAAAGTATGTGAAATAATTTATTGTGATTATTTCTCCTTAATATTTTCAAAAAAAATTCAAGATAGACAATGATTAGAAAATTGAAACTTCATGTAGGAATGTGAAATGTGTGAACTAAGAGTCTGTGGGAGGGTCTGTGAGTGCTGGCTAAGATGAATGTTAATTTTATTTTATTAATAAAAAAAGAATTTGAATATTTAAAATAAGTTTATTTAAGTTCATTCTTGACTCAATTTTTTTGAATTTATTTGGGCGTTAGAATAAGCATAAATTAAAGAAAAATTTATAGACTTCTAAATCCAATTGTAAAATTTTTTAAGTTTATTTAGATTAGTTTATCAAAATCAAACTTGACTCAAATTACAGACTTTATTAACGTAATAATAAGGTGCAAATTTGGTAGGGTCCGAAAACTGATAAATGAAACTTGCATATTCAAGAGCTTTCTTCAAATGGGTTCTTTTGTAAAGATTTCAAATGGACTTTTGATACCATCAAAGAATACCTCAACAACATGTTCTTATGGATTGTATCACGAAAAGACTCGTGAACTGTTAAAAGTCCGATCCAAATACACCAGAAGTCGCATGAAGGATTTTTCCTGACTCAGAATGCACGGTTTGGGCCCTAAGACGCTCCCGGTTCTGGCTTCATTCTGGTTCTTCCAAAGTGCCCCGTCCAAAATCGATCAAACCAGTCCAATCCACAAAACGGCCCAAATGGTCAAATCAAGGCTAGTCATGGTCCATTCCGTTTAAGAACACTCCATCACAGGTGTTGACTAATCCCGTGACCTTGAGCAACTTGAAAGCCTTGGGGCTAGGGGAGCCTATTTATTAATTTACATGTCTACAATTGCATCTAATTACTCTGATACCAATTGTCTTATCTCTCATGTGAAGAAAAAAGAAGAATATGATTCCTTTACTATTATAAGAAATTGAGTCAACACACAGAAACAAGAGAATATGTATGATCCCGATCCGCAAGTGTTGCTGCTCTGAAGTCAATGTTCTCCCCGCATCTGATGCAATCTGTGACCCATCGGCCATCACATATTGCCAAAATATTTTTAAATTACACCGATCACCTTAATCTCAAAATTACAGATTTTTGGACGACTATTTCACTCTAACAGTTGTAATATATATATATATATATATTCTATAAATTAATGACTATGAACATGAATTTATTGGCAAACTGTTGACTTTCTCCAAACTGACATTAGCTCTTAGAGTCATGGCTTCCCTCTTGGATTCTTTGCATTAATATTGATTATAATAACAATTTTCCTGTAAGCCCTAACTTAGTACTTAAAAATGGATTGCTTCACCACGAAGTGACCCTAACCACACTCAAAACAACCACCTCCCATGGAGGCGTCTTCTCAGTCCAACACCATCCCTTCCAATTTACCCTTCCTTTTCATTCTCTTATTCTCAAATCTCTTCACGTTGTTCCTTTCCTCCACCTTCTACTCATCCTCATGCACTCCCAGTTTTTCGGCCACTGCCGCCACTGTACCCCCTCCTTCTGACGACCTCCCGCTGGAATTCTTGGCTTTCACTTCTGGTCAACGTCTCCCACTAGGCTTCAACCGCAACTTCGCCTCCGACACCATCCACCCTCCCGTCGGCAATGGCTGCACCCTCTCGCCCGTCGAGCTCCGTCACTTCATGTCCTACCAAGTCAACGGCTCCTGCCCGATGACGAGCTCCTCGCACAGAAACTCCTCCTCAAGGGCTGCGAGCCACTCCCCCGCCGCCGCTGTCGTCCCGCAGCGCCGCGTAACTCCATCGAACCGCTCCCTCTGCCATCCAGCCTATGGTCCACCCCGTCCGATTCCTCAGTGGTCTGGACGGCCTACACCTGCAAAAGCTACGAATGCCTTATCAACCGCAAAACACAAAAGGGCTTCGACGATTGCAAGGACTGCTTCGACCTGAACGGCCGGGAGAAGCACCGGTGGACCTACAAGAAATCCAAGGGTCTCGATTTTAGCATCGACGACGTTCTGAGAACCCGCAAACCCGGGTCGATACGGATCGGGCTGGACATCGGAGGCGGAGTGGCATCATTCGCGGTGAGGATGAGAGAAAGAAACGTGACGATCGTGACAACGTCAATGAACCTGAACGGACCTTTCAATAACTTCATAGCTTCTCGTGGGGTGGTTCCTCTGTTCATGAGCATATCGCAGAGGCTTCCGTTCTTCGACAACACGCTGGACATTGTGCACTCGATGCACGTTCTGAGCAACTGGATCCCGGAGACGCTGCTCCAGTTCTTGTTGTTCGATATATACAGAGTTCTGAGGCCAGGTGGGTTGCTGTGGCTGGACCATTTCTTCTGCGTCGGAGAGCAGATGAAGGATGTGTATGAGCCGATGATCATGAGCGTCGGATTCAAGAAGGTGAAGTGGGTGACGGGGAAGAAGCTCGATAGGGGACCGCAGATGAAGGAGATGTATCTCTCGGCTTTGTTGGAGAAGCCATTGAACAATTCTTGGTGACTCTACTGTTAGCATTAGTCACGTCTTGTTTTGTTCTTCTTGTTTTTTTCCCCCGAGTCTAACATTTTCATGCACACTGTAGTTTGTTTTCTTTTATTTATTTATTTTTTGTCCTGTAGGGTTAGGGGCGACGTGGAGGCAATGCTTAGTTTTGTTGAATAAAATATTTTTGACGTTAATTTTCTCTCCTGTTCTCTATAAGAAGAGAACTCATTGAAAGAATGAAAAGGTGCTTCAGTTTTTTTTTTAATTAGGTTCTTTCTCTTAAAACGGCTTAATGACAGATGTTTGCTATTGTTTAAGTCATATTAATTTGTAATCGGAATTTCATTTTTTACCTTGTAATTAATTGTAATTTCATTGAGATCGCTATATATGTTTTTGTTAATTTCTCTTATATCTTCTTAAAGATCTTATCTGAGTTATGTTGTTTTGTTTTACTTGGGACATGTTTTATTTTCAAAGTTTGATAATTAATATTACACGATTTTTCAAAGATGATTTAACTAATTAATATAATATATATATATATATTAAGTACTGTGTTTGACAATGCCGCTGTGTCCTCTGGTTGGCCAATCTCGAAACACGTTCGGTAGCGCGCGCGCGCGTGTTTTTTTTGTTTTTTTTGTGGATTGAAATTCGGTAATGCGTTTTTTAATTTAAATACTCTTTTTTGAAATAGTAAATTTTACAAGATCGAAAAAACCATGATTTTAGCAGCAAGCTAGAGAGCAAACACAAGTAGGTTCGAACTTGACCATAGTTTTGCGACCCAAAGCTATTTGCTCTGACTTTTTTCTAAAAAAAAAAAAAAGTTTTTTGCATTAAAGTACAAACTTACGCCAAAACATTTTCAAAGAAGTGCGATTAGTATTCTAACGTTTTTGAAAGGCACAATATCATCCTCATGTTTTTAATAATGGGACAATGTTGCCCTACACTAACAAAAATAGCTAACGATGTTAATTTAGTGAAATGGGCCGACTCTTTGATGCCACGTGTGCAGGAAAATTTTTTGACTATTGCCACGCAAGCTAGTTCTTTGCCCCTTCATCGTCTTCATCCTCACAGTCGGATGGTTTTGTCTTCTTCCCCCACCTCTTCGTCATTATCTTCGTCTTCCCCCATCATCAACAGCAATTACAGTCTTGCTTGAGCTCTTCTTCTTCCCCTTTCACTTGCCAAGATTAGATTCATCGAGAATGCAGGATTCTTTTCCTTGTGACTTGAAGACTGCAAGATTAATTACCTTCGTTAACCCTTTGTCGGTGCCGTCTTCAAATCTCCACTCTTCAGACTTAAGGATTGCGATATTACTTCCTTCCTTACTTTGTGACTCGAGATTCATTCCTTGCTTCCCAAGATTCGATGGCCGAACTGATTGGAACTCCAGCATGTGTGCAACTGATCTCCAATCACGTTCACTAGTAGTTTGGTCTGGTTTGAGTTTAAGAACATTGACTAGCAATTTCTTCTCACTAGGATTAGTTCTTGTCCAAAATAACACGAATTAGAATTGGTGTAATCATTGAGCACACGTGAGACTATAAATATTAGTTCTCATGTATGCTATTGAGTGCGGCACCCAAAACCCCCATTCATTATTCTAACCAATACTAATATCCTTGTTACTTATTGTCAAGTTCTCGTTTATCCAGACACTATTTTTTTTTTTCCTTTCCAATTCTTGATTCAAATGATATCGATTAATCTGGGTATATTAATATCAAATGCTATGGATTATGTTTTTGCTGCAATGGTCTAGATGTATAACTCAAATGCTATGGATTATGTTTTTGCTGCAATGATTGGGTGTGTGGCTTTTCAAGATTTTGCTGCCATAGTTTGGTACAAATCTCAAAGGGTTATGTTTCTCAAATTCAATGGAGTATGGCTTTCTGAGGGGGTAGGAGGAAGAAGAAAGTGTGTCTTGCAGGTGGGTGTGAGGACAAATTGAGGATGAGGAAGAAGATCTACGTGGCACTGGTCAAAAGTACTCAAACGTATGTGGCATTAATACGTGGGATCCATTTGAAGAAATTAACACGGTTACCTATATCTGTTAATACAGGGCAACATTATCCCATTTTTTAAAAATGTGGAGAATGACATTTTGCCTTTTAAAATGTTAAGATATTAATTGTGCTTCTTTAAAAATATTTGGGGCATATTTATAATTTGGTCCTTTTTTTTTTCCTCGAGGCTTTTAGATTTAATTTGATAACCATAGATTTTACAAACCCAAAAGCTCAGCCAAACCTGGTTATAAATAATTTAGGAAGGTTTTCAGGCACCGAGATTGGATTGATCTCTTGGACGACTCAAGGTTTTTCTTGGTCATTTATGATGCTTTTAAAATATTTGGCTCAATAACTTAAGATATTGCATTTAAGATATAGGGACTGAATTATAAGAGAATAAAATATAGAAAACGATTTAAGTGTAAAATACCAAAAATATAAGGATTAAAGCATTAATTTTTCCTTAGTTTTTTTCAGGTAAACGAAAGTTCCTTAATTTTATTTTATAAGGGCGTTTGTAACGTTTCATAAATAGTAATGCAGCTCTTGTTCGCCAGGTCAAATCTGTTTCCTTTTACTTGCCCGGACTCTCGTGATCTGCCTGTATAAAACATCAAGATTTCGCTGAAACAAAACTGGACAACCGTGTTCCCAATAAACCTTCTTTGACGACGGTGAAGCTGGAGAAGGCAAAGGGGGATATCAAGTGGAATGAAGCGTCGTCGTCCTCTGATTCTCCTTTTTCTTCTTTTTCATCTTCGTCACCGTCGTCTTCATTGGACGATAGAGAGTATAAGGTGATCAGGGACGCGAATGACCAGTTTAGAGCATCAGGAAGTCGATTCGAATTGTTAAAACACGAATCAGATTTGAGGAATTTCGGTCACCAAACCTTTCTCAATGGCATCAGTGGTTGCTACAAAGACTACGTGATTCACCCCAACAACAGGTTCGGGAATCCCTCCTCCTCCGAGTATACTTCTTATTTTAATATTCACAATATATTAACATAAAATAGGTGTTGTTTGGCTATTAAGTTCTTTGAAGAAACCCATAATCCTTTACAAAATATATTTAAACGTGCTTTGGGCCAACTTCAAATTTTTTTACTTTTAAAATTTACTCCCTCTGGTCCACTATATGGGTCACATTCTAGAAAGAAAATGTAGTCCATAATATAGGTCATCCAATGATGATGACTTTGCATTTTAAGATAAGATAAAGTTCTCAAAACACCCTTACTATAAAAGAAAATTGAAATTACTTTCTTTATTGTAGAGGGAGTAGCTTTTCTATAAAGTGTGGGAGATAAATACAAAAGGATAATATTATATTGATTTGATCATTTTTTTCCTTTTTCATTTGAGAGTTAGTTTTAAAATTTTATTTATAATTATTCTTTATATTTTTATTGTGTTGGTATTAATGAGATTGATAAAAATAATTTATAAATAGGATCGGAGGGAGTATATTTTAAATTAAAAACATACAACTTACTTATCAATTTTTGAAAAAAAAATAGAAAAAAATTACATTCAGATCTCACAAAAGGAGATTCATTATTGAAAGGTCTCATGAATTTCATAAAATATTTCTAAGTTCCAAATTTTGTGAATTAACAATTTGATTAAGGGTATTGACAATTAGGTAATGATTATTTACAACTTATAAGTTGTCCAATTATCAATACCTTTAATCAAGTTGTTAATATATATGATTTAAAATTTAAAAATATTTTATAAAATTCATGAGACTTCTTAATAATAAACTTCTTTTTGTGAGACTTGAATGTAATTTTTTAAAAAATATTCAAACATAAATTTTATTATAATAATTGACTTCTATCAAATTAATTTTTACCAAAATTATTTTTTAACAAATAAAAGTTGGACAAACTGAAAATCAAACACACACTTATTTTAGTCAAAATATTTTTTTATCTAACAATAATAAATATTTAGTGCGTGTATACACATATAACTAATATATACTATCACATAGTTTTAAATTTGAAAGAATTGAGTTTACAATTGTCAACATTAAATAAGTAATATTAAAATAAAAATTTAAAGAATGATATTTGAATAGTATAGTTTGGGTAAAAACTTTGGAGAGCTTTGATATTTTTTTATTAATTTTTTTCCAAAAGTTTCATTGGATGCTTAGTTGCATTATTCATGAATAATGAGTAGCAGAACTTTATACAAATTTTGTGTACCTTTTTAATAATACAAATTTTAAAAGATCGTGGAAGATAATTAGATAAAGTAAAATTGAACCTTCTAAGCAAATGATCCGATTTGAGTACAGTCGTGCAGTATGCATGCAGAGTTGATATATATATATATATATATATATATATATAAAATATTGATCTGATGCCGGGTTGAAATTTGAACTAACGCTCACGGACTTAGTAATTCGCTTTCTTTTTGGGGGTGACTGGGAGAAAATGGTTGGTGATAATTTCGAGCAAATATAGCAGGCAAAAAATGCACCTATACGCTCTCTCTGTTCTTACATACAAAACATATTTTAGAATTTTTTTGTTTCTAAATATAAGAGGCTGTTGGCATATTTTTTAATAAATAGACCATTATATTTTTATTAAATTAAAAAAAATATAAGTACTCTCATTAATTTACTTTGAAAAAAAGATATTCATTTTTATATTTATAATAATTAGGGGTAAAATTGAAAATGTTACTATGCTTTTAATAAAATAATTAATTTTTTTAATTTGTGTGATTTAATTAAAAATATTTTGTATATAAGGACGAACAAAGTATGTAGCTTGTCGTTACTTCATTCGTGTAATAAGCCGTTGCAACTTTGGCAACTTACTGTTATATATGTAAAGGATCTCCTTTGCATTTCCCCCGCTGATTTCGAAACAAGGTAAGAAGAGAGAAAAACAAAACTACCGGAGGTAAAATTAAATGTTGAAGCAGTAATGTGCTTTCGGTAGTGTTGATGTTTGTCGTTTGCTTAGTGACGATGGTTTAAATCATTGACGTCCTTGTATTATATTAGTTACCAGAGAGTGATTCTTACTATCTACTATCATGCAGTAATTGAGGCATCGAGTAATTTTCATCTATATGCTTCTTGTTCTAAGATCTGCATCTCGTTCAGCCCTTAAACTGATTACACAGTAAATCCTAGGCATGAACGGAGGATTTATATATAATTCTTCTAGTTCAGAATGATATTTGTATTTTTTTTTAAGATTAGGAAAATAATTAAATGCATAGCAGGTGGTATCGGGCATGGACAAAATTCATATTGTTATGGGCAGTGTATTCATCCTTCTTCACCTCGATGGAGTTTGGATTTTTTCGTGGATTGCCTGAGGATCTCCTTATACTGGACATCATTGCACAAATAGCTTTCCTTGTAGACATTGTTTTGCAGTTCTTTGTTGCTTATAGGGACACTCAGACCTATTGTATGGTTTATAAGCGAACCCCTATAGCTTTGCGGTAAGTTTCAATTCTTTTAATTTCTACTGCTCATGGTTAAGCGATACATCCTTGTTTGCTTGGAATAAAAAAGTGACACTTTGTAATTCATATGATTGATGATTAAATATTTTTTTACATAAAATCCTTATAAGAATTATACAAATACGTTATCATTTATGTTTCTTAAAATTAAAACTTCACTTTTTTTTATAAAAAAAAAATTTACAAGTAGACGTTATGATTTATGAAGTTCTAGTTTCATCTCCTCTAAATATTAGGTCCTGTATTACTATTCCCAAGGCAAAAGCCTGTAAGTCTTTGGCCATATGTACACCCCTAATTGTTTACATATTAATCAATTTTCTGTTGCTTGTTTAATTTGTTGAAAGTGATGGCGATTTGAGCTGAACTATATTTTCTTGATTATCCTGGCCTATTAGGGACGCATAATGCAATTGTTAATAATTTGGCCAATCGTTCTAGTATATTTGAATTGAATTTTCATTCAATATTTAAGTGAGTAATCTTTGAAATTAAACTGAATATATCAATGTTTGAGAATGCTTTGTTAGTATTTAAAATAGCAATTGGCATTTTCAATTAATGAGATTAATGATATTAATGTTAGAAGATTCAAAATGTACTTTAGAAGATTAAATGACTAAACTGAAATTTTGCATAAAACTAGAGTATTAAAAGTACACTTTTGCCAACGCTTTGTTGATTTATCAAGTGTGTATAAGTCCATTTATAAATTATGCCTATGAGAATTATTTGATTAATGAAAAATTTAGAAGTTAAATATACAAATAAATCTTATGGTAAAATTTACAATTCAATTCACTTGAGATAGGACACTGATAAAGACTTGATATAGGAATTTTATCGAGCTATAAAAAAAATCATATAAATACGTATACATGTTATCATTTGATGTGTTTCACTACTAAGTCCTCGGGTGCTATGAATGATTTAATGAAAAATCTTGTTCCCAAATCTCGCGTGGCAAAATAGCCCCTTGGATTTATAAAACTAACAAAATTCCAATCCGGAAATAAGGGAGTTGAATGGCGATGAGCATTGAAAAATCTGCTCAAATGTTGCCATTCTTATTTGTGCATTTATTAAAGTTGACTCACGATTTCCTTTCCCTATTCATGCAGGTATATAAAATCTAGCTTTGTCATTGATCTTTTAGGATGTTTGCCCTGGGATTTTATTTACAAGGTTCTTCTTTCTCTGCATAAACCTAAATTTCTTGACTATATATATTCTTACCTTTAAGTCTTGACCACCTATACCAGTACAGCAACTGTTTGATGTTTGGCTCGTGTCTATTTAATTCAGTGGCATGTATGATGGCATTTTGCATGAGTTCGGCTTCAGATTACTCCCTTTTGCCACATAATGAGTCATTTTGCTTAATAGTAATTCTAGTATATTTTGATTTTTTTTTTTAAGTAAAATGACAACTTCCAGAGGAACGCTTTACCAAGATAACAAATGTCTTATTTGACCTCCCCCCCCGAAAGCTTCAATCATGCCCCATTCTCTGCTCTTTTCTTGTCAAAATTGTTATCTGTATTTATTTAGGATTTGATATATATTCAAGTTTTTTTGTGTCAGTGTAAAGTTGAAAAGTTAATGAAGTTCTACTTACACTCGCCAACTATTAGCTGGCCAAAAAGAAGACAACTTGCGAAGGAAAGGAACGTCTACTTTGGGATCCTGACGTTGTCTCATTTCTCAAAAGGATAATTGAAACTTCCTTTTGTTCTCTGGAATGCTGATAAAATTTTCAGCTGGCATTTGTCTTTGGGTCCCTAGTTGACTGCAGTGATACATGTAGCAGCAACCTTTTCTCATGTAATTGTTTTTGTGCTGAACCTTTTTATGAAGCCAATTAGATTCACAAAATGTCTAGCCTGCCAAGTCCTTGGACCCGAGCGCGTACATAATTATGTCTGCAGCACTTCGTTGGGTGAGAGCTATCAGAGGTTATTTATATTTCATAATTTTCTAATTTTTAGGTGTTACCATGAAACTTACTTTGCAACTCCTTTTGCTTGACATTCGTTATAGTCCTGTCGGTTGTGATTTGAGATATCCGTTTCACCGAATTGCCTAAAGTATTTTAGTAGATGAAGACAGATTGCACTAGAGGTCTTCACGTCTTTTGCTATAATATCTTGTTTTGTAGATTTTTGCTTACTAGGATAAAGCTTTAATGGGCAGGCTTCTGGTAGAAGAGAGGAATTAAGGTACTTTTTGTGGATAAGATCATATCGGGTGCGCAGAGTCAATGATTTTTTACAGCAGTTGGAAAAGGATATACGGGTAAATTACATGTTTACTAGGATTCTGAAACTTCTAGCAGTTGAGCTGTACTGCACTCACATAGCTGCCTGTATCTTCTACTATTTGGCTACCACACTACCTCCTTCCCAAGAGGGCTATACGTGGATTGGAAGTCTAGAGCTGGGCGACTATAGTTATTCACATTTCAGAGATATTGATTTCGGAAAGCGTTACATAACATCCTTATATTTTTCTATTGTTACAATGGCTACTGTTGGTAAGTTACACAATTTATCAGAAAGCAAAATGTTCTTCGTTTTATATATCATCATTAATCACAGAATCATTTATCATAGTCATTTTCAGCTTTAATGCTTTCCTGAACTAATTTGGACGTGGCCAGTTTTATTTAATGCTTTACTAAACTAAGAACCAGCACCTCTGCTTCTTCCATACACCAAGTCTCATTCCACTGACATTAAATCGATAATCTATTGCGGAGCTTATAATTAACATGATAGGGACCTAAATAGGAGGAATGTATTTTAAGGATTTGGTGAATTTGGAGCTCTTTCTTTCAAGCATGATGATGGTTCATGTCAATGTAGAAGCAAAATGGATTCATTAAGGTTAATAGGAACGTCCTCATTTTTGGTTTATGATTTTGATTAATTGATAATCTATCGTCCTCATTGTTATAAATCCCTGTTTTCTTCCTGATGAACTGCTATACAATTCTGAAGCTTTGTGAGATGGTCTACTGGGTATTCTAAGAACCAAAAGAAGAATTTGCTCGATCTTGTAAGACCATTAAACATGCTATACAAAGATTGTCATCTTATGCTTATGGTCCCATACTAGGACTGAAGGCAACTGATATCTGATATAATTGGCAATTGGTAATGTTTTTCGATGTTAGTTCTCGTTTGGTCTGAATATTAGCTGAACCTGGTAAATTACAGATGAGATGGTGATATTCTCTGTGCTTCATGTACCATTCCAGAAATATTTTTGCCTTAAATCCTGGTTTCAAATTCTGTACTATTTTTCTTATCCTTAATGTTCTTCTTAGTGAAAATTGTTTGCGATTTTGTAAAAAATTAAAGATCTTTATTTATTCCACAGGGTATGGAGATATACACGCGGTCAATATGAGGGAGATGATATTTGTAATGATATTTGTGTTATTTGACATGGTTCTTGGTGCTTATTTGATTGGTAACATCACGGCATTAATAGTCAAAGGATCAAAGACTGAAAAGTTTAGGGACAAAATGAAGGATCTCACGAAATATATGAACAGAAACCGATTAGGAAGGGACATCCGTGAACAAATAAAAGGCCATGTGTGCTTACAGTATGAGAGTAGATATGCTGAAACAGCTGTCGTTCAAGAATTACCCATTTCTATTCGAGCAAAGGTAATTGGAGGAAGGAAGGCTTTCAACCTTATTGATGCATTGAGGGTGACACAATTAAAGTAACCATTGGAAATGTTCTTTCTTCTAGTGATAATATTATGATTTGTTATCTTCTTCAATAGACTTTCTAACGACTGTTTTTTACCTTCGACTTTGGTTGGTGCATATCAGCATTCATGCAAATGCACAGTTTAGACTATATGAGATTATGACATCTGGTGTTGTGTGTTTGGCATACTAGGTGTTTATGATAGGTTGAATTGTTACCATTTAGAGGTATATTTTGCCTTTGGATCCTCTCCACTCACGCCTTAAAAAATAGAGTGATACAAAAAATGTGATTGTGTATGTGGACGCATTTCAGAGCTAAACTAAACTGTTTCTCCTTCTGAATACACCTATATTCATTCTGTGAATGTAGAGGATCCGAGCCATGAGTTTTTTCCCTTATTTTGAATTGAAGAACAAATATGTATCCCCATCACGGTCTTGGATAGATATCTTTTCCAGTGGCTTATGTCAATATGTCATTTTGAAGGCTTTGTATATGGATCTTTGATGCTTTATCATATTTCCTTGTTATGTATTCCTGTTCCCCCTTTTCTCTACAAGAGCTCTAAGTTATCATATCCTAACATTTTTTTTTTTATGCCTGGTATTTGGTTTTTTGGTGCTTCCTGCGTCCTTTCTGCCTTGTTGGTATTTATAGAACTTGATATTTATGTTTGGTTGGAAAGGAATGGAGAGGAAGGGAGTGAAGTGGAGATTTTTGATATAAAAAATGTGGAGAACTGGGGTTGAAAACTTTTAATTAATTTTTTTTATTTTTCCTCTTATTGAAATAGAAAATATGGAGAATTGGGGTTGAGTATATCTTCTCTCTATTAAAATTTTATAACCCACTTATCCATTTTTTTTTTAAATCTCCTATCCAATTCCTTCCATTCCCCTCCAAATAGGGGCTAAAGTTATGCTGTTCCTCTCCTACTTTTCATTTTGTCTCTTCCCGATGGTAGATCAATTTAGAAATTTGTCAGTTCCTAATAAGATTTATCTGAAGTTGTATTCTTTGAGATGTCCTCTACAAGTCGGATTGAGTCTGAGCTATTTTATGGAGATTTTCATGTGTTCAAAGAAAGACATGAATTATTTCTTCCAACAATTTTGTTCAATGGAATGGCCTGATTTTTTCTTACAGATATCACAGACATTATATTTGCCATACATCGAAAAAGTTTCTCTGTTTAAGGGTTGCTCTTCAGAATTTATCAATCAGATTGTGAGTATTATTTTCTTTCTAGGCGGAAAATTTGCACGTGAATATAAACTATTTATCAGCTTACTGGCGCCATTTCTTTTCAGATACATACATTAGGTTTCACTTCTCTCATAATTTACAGCTAAAACTGAGGGCAACAATACTTTAGAGCTCCACCATTTTTTCCCCGTTCTATAGACATTAACAGGGAACATGACTTTCTTGGCTTGGCTTGTAACAAGCACGAAAAGGATATCAACCTTTTTATGCCAGCATCTTTCTGCATCCCATTATCATTATTATTATTTGTTTGATAAGCAACTTTGAATTCACAGCACTAATTCCATCCCCAAGGAACAAAGAATACTACTGGCCAGTAAGCCAAAATATGTGTTCATGGCCCAATAAGTTCAAAGGCCCATTTCCATTAAAAAAACTTAAAAGTAAAAAGAAAGAAAGAAAGAAATGTGTGTGTGTGTGTGTGTGTGTGTGTATTAAATAGCAGCAATTGAAGAGGAAAACAATGGATTTCTTCCTCTTCAAGAAATGGGCAAAAAGTTTGGGAAATGGGTAACATTTTGGACAACTCTTCAAACTAGTATAAATAGGTTCCTCGGTAAAGCATTTGGTGTGGAGAATGGTAAGAAAAGCAGGTGTGTGGTAAAAAGGAAGAGAGAGGTGAGGAGTGAAGAAGTGCCATGAGGTGTGTTTGGTGAGCGAAAAGGTAAGAAAGAGAAGTAAGAAGTGGCGTTGAAGGCCGAAGGGTGAAAAGAAAGATGAAGTGAAGTGGAATAGGAAAGGGAGTGAAAAAGTTAAGTAGTATGGAGATTATTGTAGTTTGAACATCCAATAAAATTTTCTTTTTCCTTCAAGTCCTCTCTCTCATTTTCTTCAAGCATATTGGGATTTTCCCACTCAAGAAACAACAATGCTTATTTTCTTTGCAAGCCTATTTATTCAAATTTGAATTCTGACACTCCAGGTTAAACTTCTGTGTGACAAAACAATTGTTAGTAGGTCTATACATATTAAAGAATGAATGTTACTAGTCCAGCACTAATGGGATGTTGAAGTTTATAGCCCTGGTTCTTTCAATCTTTCAGGTTATTCGGCTCTATGAAGAATTCTTTCTCCCAGGAGAAGTGATTGTGGAATATGGAAGTGTTGTGGACCAGCTATACTTTGTCTGTCATGGTGTGCTGGTATAATTATGCATTTCCAAAATAAGTAGGGTGAATTTGTATTTTTCAACTCTTATTTTTTTGTCTTCCTAATTTTTAATGTTCATATTTATAGCTTTTGAACCATTTAATATAGAGACAGACAAATGTGGATGCTCTTTTTAGGCATGTGAAATGCTCAAATCTAATGTTTTTTGAGTTGTTTATTTGGCATCACATGATAAATCATTTTTGTAGATTCCAATTTAAGAATCTTGCAAATGTACTATATGTCTTGAGCTGGTCATTAAATAAAAATTGAATTTAATTTTATATGAAATTTCAAACCATATTCTTTCAAATTATTCTTTTTAATTTTTTTTCCTGGAGACGGATTTCAACCAGAAATAGTTTGCTGAAACACTAGAAGTTGTCTATGCGCAGGAAGAAGTAGGTACATGTAAAGATGGATATGAAGAGACAGTTTCCCTTCTACAACCTTACAGTGTATTTGGAGAAATATCTGTTCTTTGTAACATTCCTCAGCCATATACTGTTAGGGTTTGTGAACTATGTAGGCTTCTGCGGCTTGATAAACAATCATTCACAAATATTGTTGAAGTATACTTTTATGATGGAAGGAAAGTATTGAACAACCTTCTAGAGGTACTGATTGTTGTATATAATATCTCACCCCTTTAAGTTTGAAATTATACATTTATTTGAGGTTCATATAATTCTTAAGTTTTATTCTTTGGACAACTAAACATCACATAAGTGTTTTTCGTGAGAAAGCATTACCTAATTTGTAGGGGAAAGAATCTTTTCATGATAAACAATTGGGGTCAGACATTACTCTTCATATTAGCAAGCAAAAAGCTGAACTTGCTTTAAAGGTCAATAATGCAGCTTTTCAAGGAGATCTGTATCAACTAAAAGGTTTAGTTCGAGCTGGAGCTAATCCCAACAAGACTGATTATGATGGAAGGTCACCCTTGGTGAGGAACTTACTTTATTAAGATGTCTTGTCATTGATTAGTTTGCGCAACATACTATGGTGTTTGACTTAATCACTTAATTATGGGAGTAGGCAAGTTTGAGGTTCGTGTAAATTTTATTTTTGAAATTTTCTCCTTTTTTCTAAAATCTCTCTCTTCGTTGCAATGTCCCATAAATCAAGTAAGGGTAAATAAGCAACCCAGTAACTTGGCTAATTGTGTGTTTGGGCCAACAATGTGTGTGTGTGTGTGTGTGTGTGTTTAAATCGACTACACCAGTCGTGTAAACTACTCCCTTGCCATCAAGTTTTTTGATCAAAACATGAGAAAGAAAATTCTAGAAAGACAACTTGCGCGATGTTATTTATGTAAAAGTTATTCTTTTGTTATTTTTATTGAAGGATGTAATAGCAAAAACTTCATAATTGCACTCAACTTTTGCCTTTATACTAATTGTATAAAAAACAAATTGTGTTTGCTATGGTTTCGTCTTTGGCAATTTGGCAACCTTGTGAAATTCATTACTGTCTATTTATTTGAATAAAAATCTATTTGAAGAATTTGTATCCCAATAAGTTCCGCAATTTACTATCTCTTGCTGTATGTGAAACACAACTCTGTTCTATTGAAAGTGAAATGGGTTGGTCCTCCGATTCAGTTATAGCAGGTTGCACTTTGCACGTGATTTCCTGTAATTAACTCTAATGAGAAAAAGCACTCCAGCATTCTGTTATGAAAAATATATTTCTGCTATGACCAATATTTTATTTTATTTTTTGGCTACAGCATCTTGCAGCATCTAGAGGATATGAAGATATCACACATTTCCTTATTCAGGAAAGCGTAGATGTCAGTATTAGAGGTAAGTAATTGTCTGATTTGTCAAATAATCTTGGGACAAATATTTGCAAAAATCCCTCAAGAATTGATATTGCATTCTCTGATGAAAACATGATATGCATAGAAACTTTTTTGAAAGCGACAATTATATGATCTAAGGAGCAAAAATAAATAAGTGCATGTTTAAATTGGAAATGTTAATGGCAAACACTTCAAAACGACACTAAAGTTTCATCCTTTTTATTGCTGTAATGCTGATGAATATATTTGATGTGGCAAACATTTTAGATAACTTTGGGAATACGCCACTACTTGAGGCTATAAAGAATGGACATGATAGAGTTGCTTCCTTACTTGTTAAAGAAGGGGCGTCAATGAGGATAGACAATCCGGGTAGTTTTCTATGCACAGTTGTTGCAAGGGGTGATTCAGATTATGTTAAAAGGCTATTATCTTACGGTATGGATCCTAACTCAAAAAATTATGATTACCGATCCCCTCTTCATGTTGCCGCTGCTGAAGGTCTATACTTCATGGCAAGGTTGCTATTAGATGCTGGGGCTAGTGTTTTCACCAAAGACAGGTGCAGTTGAATAACTCATTTTGCATGTTTATGCTAGCTTAACTTGCTTATACAATTTGAAACTCGAGAGCATACTTTTTCTACTTGACAAAATTGGAAAAAGCATGGTGACTTCTGTTTATTTAGAAGGTTGGACATAGATGTTTTCAGAAACATAACTTCTTTATACTAAATATGTTATGGTATCATGTAATCAAAAAGTGTGTGTGTGTGTTATGGTATCACAACAAAAGGCTTGATGAAGGATTACATAAAGCTTGAAATTAATGGATGTTCAAATAATGTGTAGATAAGTTTTACCCATACAAGGACTTGAAAATCTTTTGTATCAGCAACAAATAGAATTCCAATACCCTCACTAAATGCATAACAAGACCCACGAGCCTAACAACAGGCACAACTCCCCTAAACTATGATATGAATTAAAAAGAAGTATGATATACTAGCATCTTGCCAACTAGAAATAACTTTAACCTATATTAACCTGAACAATCTTACAAGCCCGTTGAACAATAAAATAAATACCATGCTTCAATATCTTTTCTCATAAAACTTATGCATTATTGATTTCCTTTTACCTTGCTTGTAATTGTAGGAATCTTCATATTGTTATTGCTATATTGTCTTCTAAATTTGTTGGCTGCATCTTCAATATTATGGGAAACAAACAAAAAAGTTTGAGCATTCGTATCCATGTTGATTCAGGTATTGCAGCAGTGACTAGGAATATTGCTCTGTAGTGAGATAGAAAATTTAATGAGGAGTCCTCTTGATCACCCCCTCTTAATTAAGTTAAATTTTTGTGGGGCCTTTTAGGCAACCAACGTCATTGATTCTCAAACTGATATGAATTGCGAAATAGTTGAAGCTGTAGTAGAACCTTACATCAGGGCATTGAGCCAGGGACTACCTTTTTCCTTCATGAGTCAAACTTTAACAGCTGGAGTATAGTGCATTGGCATAGCCTTATTCCAAAAAAGAGAATAGAAGGATTTCTCTAATGCTGATTGTCAAAAGATCTAAGAATTCATATTGTGCTTTTTGTGTAGTTTATGCTAAAGGCATAACGAGTAACACTGATCTCCATCCTAGTTGTTTTCCCCTTTTGGCAGAAAATTATATCAATACTAACGACTAAATGCAAGCTGGAGACTTTTGCTTGGTAAATTTGTTGATACATGAAACTCATCAGTCAGTACTTCCTAAACCTCCTACTGGCTCCTTGTAATTCTAATTGTAATGAAATTACTTACTATGTCTTTCCCTTCATTTTCTTAATTCCAAGAATGTCCTTTCTGATGGAATTTCTTTGCATTATATGTTGAAGGGTATCTTTTCTATTACAGAATAATGGGATGAGGATATAATTCTGTATATTTCTTGACAGACAAAGAAATCTTATTTGTTGCCCTTTCCTTTTTCACTGATTCATGAAAATGAAACCAAAAGCTAAAACTGTTACTTTTTATTGCACTGCAGATGGGGAAATACCCCACTTGATGAAGCCAAGATGAGTGGGAATAAAAATATGATGAAGCTACTAGAAGATGCAAAGTCTGCTCAATTGTTGAAATTCCCAAATCATTCCTCAGAATTTACTAGTACTCACTTGATAGCATTATTCTGTTTTTAACCTAAAAATACATTAATAAAAACTGTTCATGAACTTGTTTTACAATAGTTTAAATGTCAGAGTGCTTAGTTTCTTGACATGATACTAAACCAAAGCGAGATAATTGGCACATTGTCCCCTAAGGAATAACATTAAAGATTTGTGTCTAGCTCAGTTTTACTCCATGTATGTGTTGGGACAGCAAAATGAGTTTAGCCTCATAAGAAGTAGCAAGTCACAAGAAACATGTTGTATCAACAGTTATTGGTAGAGATAATTTAGGAGAGTAGAAAGGGAGAGGATTATATTAGAGAAAGGAAGACTTCTATTAGAGAAAGTATATTGGCTTGATAGATTTAAGCATTATTTATAGGAGTCATAAAAGGATCTACATTTAGTACAACTTTCAACCATCATCTACTAACATTAAATGCACCTTCCAACTTATATTTATTCTTTCTAGCTAACATCTATATTTAATACTATTCTAGAAAATAGACTCAAGATATTGGACCTAAACTTGGCTCATGGTCTAATGGATCATGGACTTAAGACTTCAACCCAAAATAAAATTTTCTCTTAACTAAGGGATCACGAGAGATCATTTAAAATGTCACATAAATCTAACATTTCAATGGAACTTATGAGGTCCACAAATCAAGTTTTATTTATGTTTCCAACCTATGTTAACCTGAATTGTAAAATGCAAATATAAATAGTCTAAACCGGTGATGACCTTTGTAGCTTAAACTTTTGTAATGTGCAATGTAATTTACTCCATACTTTTTCATATGAATTTGGCTGGGATTCGGTTCCCAACACCTAATCACTGCCAATTCCCCTTTTGCTAGTAAATATACAAATTACGTAGTTGTGAAGTATGTTTCATTGCCAACCTGCATTAGAAAAAATGGTTATTTTATTTTTCTTGATGCCTACTACTAAGAGATGGAAAAAAACATATTCCAAATTGATATCTTTTATTTAAAAAAATAAAACAAGATCTGAAGTTTTCTTTGCCCTTTTACAGATAAAATGCACCCAATGAAATGCACAATATACCCTTTCCACCCATGGGATCCAAAAGAACTTGGAAGATTTGGAATTGTATTGTGGATTCCACACACCATTGAAGAGCTTATGAAAAGAGCAACAGAGCAGCTAGACTTTTCTTCTGATTCCTGTATTCTGTCTGAAAATGCAGGTTTAATTACTGATGTTGACATGATCAAAGATGGCCAGAAGCTGTATTTAGTCCACAAAACGCAATAGAGATACACGTATTGTAGCTTTCATATAACACATAATTATGTGTTGTAAATGTATCACTCTGTTTGCTTTTATAGGCTTCAGAAACCATTTAGAACTGGCCAGGAGTAGGGAAGGATCAGGAACGTTTGTCGAGGTGAAGGGGGTACAATTTACGGCATTTGTGATGTATATGAATAAATTTCCAACGTCACAGATAAATATCTTCATTTTTTAAATCCACCCTCATGTTGTAATTTTGCAATTGCCACAATGACACATAACGCCAAGATGAGAACATCATGGAAGCGAAAGTCCAAATAAGGTTTCTTGATTTTAATGACCTTTTTACACTCTAATTTTAAAGGACTTTGCAATAGTTGGTGATTTCATTTCCCTTTTGAACATGTCGTTGATCTACCATTCATATGTATACTTTATTACATCATATAGGTATGGCGTTAAGTTACAAGCACAAGGTATGTATAGTTGAGATCATATGTACTAAAAACTTTTCTGTTGTTTGAATTTATCTCTATTCAATTTCAACATTGGGTTTGGCCAATTACTTATCTCCAGTATTAAAAGATCTTCGCCATGAATATTCCACTTTATTGTAAATATTTCTCATATTATACTTAATACATGCTTCATTGATGCTCAGAAGTCTGAAAGCACTTAGTCAAAAAACTCATTCCCCATATTTGCGAGCAACATAGGATGAGGTTTTATTGTATTTTAATTGTTTCATAGTTATACAACTCCTTTCTTCATTGACTCCACAACGATAGATAGAAGGGCAAAGTGATTTATACTTAATAGCATGTTTGGATGTCCGTTTTGGGACACACACAACATCCGTTTCCCAAATCCAATGGAAACGGACATTTTGGGTGTCCTAAAACAGACACATAAACACACGCTTAGATCACAGAAGTTTTAGCTACAAGATCAAGGTTACTGCAGGAGTCAGTATTGCATATAAAAGTCAATTTCTGAAATCTTACTCTTTAGCCACACAATTAAGGTTGACTTATATGTTGAATCTGTCGAAAGTGTTGTTGGGCTTGTGCATTTGCAGATACTGCATCATCTTCTTCCTCAGCGTTCAACATGCTCTCCCCAGAATCTGCAGTGAACTGTGACTGAGAAGCAGCAGAAAAAAGTTCACCAATTGACTCCATGAAGCAGCTCATGAGCGGCAGGCATGAGCACACAATAAGTCCTCCTAGTCTGATATTCATGGCCGATTGATTGAAAGATTCTGATTGCCAAAGCTTTTGCTTATTGATACATTCACTGTGCGGAGAATGGTTTATTTGTAGCCAAGCTAGACAGGCAGGAAGCGTCTTGGTGATTGGCAAATTGTCAAGCCTACAATAATTGACTCAGGAAGCGCCCAACCTCTTCCACAAGTAATAAGGGGGCAAAGAACTTGTAGACCAAGTCAAAAAGGTCAACGTAAATACATAAAACTAATTTTAAATTATTATAAAATTACCTTTTTAAGTAAGATTTTCAGTTCAAATATTATAAATAGGAAAGAAAGGAATAAATACTGAAAGGGTTTGAGTTTCTCTAATTGATTTGCTCCTCCCGCTTCCAATTAATCAAGATGCAATACTATTTTTGACTAATGAAGAATTTAATAATTGAAAATTATATTTTTATTATTATAATTTTATTCAAATTTTTAAATTTCATCTTGAGTTTTGTGTATTAAAACTTTATTAATTTAACTACTGATATATCAACATATAAAAACCTAATAATCAATATCAATGTACAATGTAAAATATATAACAGCACATAATATTTATAAGACATGATTGATATTTATAAAGCTCGCTTTTCAAATTTTACCCAATACATGTGACTTGTGAGAGCTATCTAGATGTATGTTACATCTTAATGCTCGAAATCTATAATTTGTGATAACAATAAACTAAAAATACAACAATTACTCATACAACAGAACATAAATATATGATATAAAATCTATGGGGAATCACATTATTCATGCATCATGAATAGTGCTGGTGTACTAGTATTACTAATCTCCTTCTCATGCCCTTCACCAACTAAGCAGGCGCCTAACTAGTTGGTAAAAATATAACATTAAAATTATTATAAAGTTCTATCAACAAAGTTGTAAACCATAGTGATAAGGGACTGTTTGTTTAAAATTTAAAAATAAGCAATTTTTAGATAGTATAAAAATTTTATGAAAAGATATTTATTTTATAGAGATTTCATAAAAAGCAAATATTATTTTATGTTTAGTTATAATAATAAAAAAGTAATTATTAGTTAGTTATTTTTAAATTTTATAATATATATATATTGATGCTTGTTTTATAAAAATAATTTATTATCATATTATTTTAAAATTTTATGATATGTTTACGTATTTCATTTTTTAAAACAATCTCTTTCATCTACTGTATTAAATTATTTTTAAAATTTATTCAAAGTAATTTCTCAAGACAATCAGTAACGTCTTAAGATAATTAAAAATTTATTTTTTTATTCTGATTATTTTAAAAAAGTTTAAACAAATATCATAAAAACTCACAAAATTTTTTTTAAAAAATATTTTTATAGAAAGTAAGCTAAAAAAGGGGTGCTAAGTTAACAATTAAATGAAATTATTAGTATTATAATTTTAAGGAAATAAATTAGTAAGTCACGCTTGATAAAACTCTCAATTCTCACGTATTTTGATTTCTATAAATTTTTTTGACTTACAAATCTCGTGATAAGAAATTAATAGAACTAGAATTTGAGATTTCATTAAATTACACCAAACTCAAAATTTATTTAGCAGCAGCTAATTCATGGCTTCCAAAAAAAGCTATAAATATTTAATCCAATAAAATAATAAACTTTATATATATATATATATATATATCCTAAGTTGAGTTATAACTAGTGTAACTTGCTATCAATTTTATATTTTATATTAATGATGTATGCTTAACTATTCCAAAAAATATATATTCAAAATATTGCATTTTTGATAAAATTTATGACAAAAATAATATTACTAAGTTATAAGCACTACACTTCATTTTTTTTTTCAATTTTATTATCTATATTGACAGTCTCTGTGCAACACATGACTACAGCAGAAATAATGACAGCCATGATTTTTATTAATTAATTATAAGCAGAAATAAATTTCCCCCGTTGTGATGTGACGGGGTTGAAATTTTTAATATGATAATTAAAAGATAATGGTGTGTCAATTCATAATCATGTCAAAATTAGAAGGAAAAAATTCGCAGACCATTCAATCTAAAAGTTTATGCTGCATATAAAATGAGTTATTGGTCACAAAGAATATGATACAAAAATAAATAAGCTGTTATCTTAGAATATAATCAAGTAGTGTGTTATTTTTTCTCATTACGTGAGGTCAAGATTCAATTAAATTTGTACCCATTCTTCTATTTATTGGCACGCCTTGTAAATTAGTTTGTCCTTTAAAAAATATACATGTATTTATCACACATGACATGATGGTGAGATCTAAAGACTTTTCTCAATAAATTTTTAATATGACAATGACATTGAGTTAGGTTTAAACATTGTCCGACTCAATTTAAAGTGATAATTTTTTTTAAAGATATTTTTTTACGTTCACCCATGTGTTTTATAAAAGTCCTTGTTGAAGAACTGAAGAAGCATATATGAATCTGTTTGTTTCTAATGCTCTCAAATCAGTTAGCTTACTCTTTAGAAAATGTTTTGGCGAAGTTTAACTCTTGAAAATTTTTGAACACATCAAGAATGGCTTTTAGTAGCCTCCATTGATAAACCAAGCTGCTCCAAAACTTAGCTGAGAAGGATCAATTTTTTTTTTTCCTGAACCCTGAAATTGAGATGTCCTCAAAATTATTATTTTTTAAATAAAAATCCATATATGTTTTAGCCCAAACCTGGCCATATGAACCCAGGAAGCCTTTAAAGTTTAAATTTCTTTTGAGGAAAAAGTGATATAGAATAACAAAATAAACTAGATAAAAGACAATGAAAAAATAGATCAATAAAGCATCCTGCACGTAAATAGATTTTGAAATTACCTTGCTAAAGTAAACTATAGCATTTCTTAACCTACATGACACTTTTTACTCGTACAGTACATTAGGATAGATTTAGAGGATTAAAGTAAACTACAATATATTTGGCCTTAGTCAATGTTTTGGCTGTGCAAGATAAGTATAGATGTGAAGGCAAGCTATATTGATCAAAATATCATCTTGCATGTGCTTGATGTCATCACCCATATCCTTTTCATCTCGATCAGTCAATACCTAATCTTAACATCTGAACATAAAAATAGCTCACAATCTTTTCATGTGCATGAAACAACTAAATACTAGCTAGTGTTGTGCAATAAACACAAATGCCTTTTATTAATTGTTATTATTGATCCTTGTCCCTGATGACTAAAAATTCTTGTGCTTAACCAATGCTTGTTTAATTTAAAATACAAATCTCACGTCCAAAACACTTTACCCCTTTCACCACACTTTCTCATTGCTTAACTTTGTCAATTATTTTTCACCCTATGCATCACGTGGGGTTAAATGCTAGTTACAAAATAAATTAGATAAAGGAAAAATATTGTAAAAAATGACTAAAAAACAATCTTTTTTATATAAAATATAATCTTTATTAATGCTTGTGCTACAGTGAAAACAACAGTAACATTTTTTTTGACAAAAAATTATTAACGCTGACGTATTCTTGTGCATCGCATAGGGTCATGCTCTAGTTAAGTTTTTTTTTTTATTTTAAAAAAAAGCATTTGTGGGTCCATGGCACTGTTAAAATAACTGTTCCATGAACAGTAAATTTTTTAATATTTCACTAAAGATATAAGATAAATAAATAATTTTCTCCATTTAATATATTTTTTCAAGATAATTTCATGTTAATAAATAATTAAAAGTGATTTTACTTTTTATATACTATAATTGATGATGTTTACAAAAAAGAAAACTTTTTAAGTTTGACTCCTATAGGCCCTTTGAATAAAAGATATACTCTTTTAGGCTCAATTGGCTTGCATTTTTTCTCTTTTTCCTTGTTAACCTGTAATTAAAATTGTTTAAAATTAATAATATAATAAAATAATATTTTTTCTGTTAAAAAATGAAAAGTATTTTTTAAAAAGTTGGATATTTAAAAATGTAAAATATTTTTACTCTTTTGAGATATAATCATTATTTTTTTAAGTGCTCTTATTGATAATGACTTCATATTTATTATAAGGTGTTTAATAGAGGTAAATATAAAAAGATAGGGTTAGTTTGAAAGTAATTAATCACTTTATTGAGGGGTGAGATTTGATTAAAAATGTCTTATATTTTTGAACAGAGGGAGTATCTTTAAAATTATTTAATTTACTTTAAATTTTGAATTAATATATGAAAATGATACAATTTATTAAATTTTGTTCTTTCTTAATGAGAAATTTAAGTAAAAAGAAAAAAATTATATTTTATTTAGTGATCCCTATTATTCTAGCTATATTTGGGAGTTTATTATTGTGCTTCAAACATTTAATTCAAGTTCTTTGAAATTTATATTTATTTGTTAGCGTGATTAAAAATTTAAGATTACAAATGCACCTTTTCGGAACTAGCCTTGGATTGCTCGTATCAATGACGGTCAAGTTGAAAAAATAATAGATTTAAAATAAGCAAGCATATGAGCATAAATTCTTAAGGATCATGCTTTTAAAGATCAAGCTAATTCTTATTGACAATTTTATATGTAGTATAATATAACAGTAACTAATTTTTTAATTTTATAAGTGATATTTATGATAATTATATAAAATATGTTCATTAATATAAAGCAACTTCAGAACTACTTTATGATTTTAGTTAAAATAGTTGAACAAAAAGTTTAATTAAAATAAATAGTTGTTATCACCTGGGCTGGGCCTCCATGGAAATTGCGAACCCTATTCTTGTTCCCTCAATTTAAAAATATAATATATTTTTTTATGAATTAAATATTAAAAAATATAAGGTATTATTTTTAATATTTTAAAATATAATAATTATTTTTTAAAAAAACTTATATTAAATAAATTACTTTATATTTATTTTTAAATAAAATATTTTATTAAAAAGAAAAAATATAAAAAAATAAAGTTCCTTTGAGTTGAGAGGGGAGCTATAGACGTGTTTGATGGGATTAAAAAATGCTTGGGACAAAGGCTATAAGAAGATATGTCTTCATTCTTATTCATGGGAGGCTATCCACTCCAGTTGATTAAGGAAGCTGGTGTCGATCTTCATGCATACTTTAGCAAGATTTTGGAAATTTAGGAAATTCTTAATCGTAACTAGATGATGAGTCTGAAGTATACCTCCAGAGTCGAACGTTGCCACTGACTATTTGGCCAAATGTGCTCTTGCTTTGGCTCTGAGTTCTACAATTTAGAGTTAAATGACTTGTTGTAGATTGATTGAAAGATTCATTTAAATTAATTTTTAAATATTTTTAATGTTATAATAAAAAATATAAAAAATATAATATTAAATTTGAACTATTTAAAATACATTTAAATAATTAATTTATAAAATTTATAATTTTAAATATTAAATTAGATTATTTAAATTTTATTTAATCTATCCAGAGTATATCTGTATAGTCAGTTATAAAATTATAAAAAATTTTAATATTAAATTAGATTATTAAATTAAATTTGTATTATTTAAATTGATAATGAACAAATTTATTAAAATTTTAAATTTTTATATTTTTTATATTAATAATTATAAATATTAAAAATATTTAAAAATTAATTTAAATGAATGATAAGAATTAAATAAGATTGAAATAAAAGATCAAGAATGTAATTGCAGACCTCCTTTAAGAGTGTCATGTTGCCTTCGTTTGCCCTTTTTTTTTTACTTTGCTCTTACTTTTTGTGTTTTTTTATAAACAAAATAATTTAAATATAAATAATTATTTTATTATTAATAATATTCTGTCAAAAATAACTTATATTTTTAATTAAAGAGAATATAATTTTTTGTAATAAAAAAAAAATATGTTCTTGCGATTGGAGGAGGAGGAGGAAGAAGAAGAAGAAAGAAGAACGAACCCTTCGAGCCTCGACCTTGTACCTGGAGACAATACTAGCATTTCTGAAGCGAGGTAGAATACTCCATCTCAAGCGCGAATCGCGAAGATGAATTATCCAGTTCTTCCTTTCGTTTCTCAGCTTTCCTGGTTAAAGGTTTAAGCCAGCGATTTTTTTTTTTTTTGCCTCTTGATTCCTTGACGACATACTTTCTTCAACGAATAGAAAATGGATGCTCAAGCCCAAAAAAAGGCATTATTTCGTGCTAAATTGAATGCTCAGAAGAAGGAAAAGCGCATAGATTCCCCTCTTGTGAGGTTGGTGTGCTCCGCTCGGCCAAATGAGTCCTCTGCGCTTTCATTCATAAATTTCGTTTTAACAAGCTGTTGATAAGTTTGCATCTAGGATTGCTTGCCATCATACTTGTATAGTTCTGGATTCACTGTCTAACTTGTTTTCATATTCTTCATCAACTATTAGGCCCCCTCATGGACCAAGAAAAGTAAAATCGCCAAGTTTCTTGACATCCTTATCCTGTTAGGTCCATTTGTTAGTTTATCTGTTTTTCTGCCAACTTACAAGCTGCTGGCTATTTATTTTCGATCGCTTTAGCACCACTATGCATCTAATAATTGTTGGTTATCAGCTTGTCTCTCATTATCTCTAAGGCACACAGCCAAGAAAGCGAGAGCCCCAATGATGACTGGATGGAATATTTTAGCCTTTCAAGAAGAATTTTCTGAATGTGCCTGTCTTTTTGTGGATATTCAAACAGGTATAATGAATTTGATCAGCCGGTCTGCCGGGTTTGTGATGTTGTTCTGAAGCATGAATCTAACTGGGATGCACACCAAATTTCTCGTAAGCATCGTGAGGTGATGATATCTTACAATCTCATTTATGTTATGCATATCCTGTGACACGTCAAAACATCGATGGTAGTAGCTTTATATAATTGTACACGCAAAATTTTATGTTTACAAGATCTTATAGTGGTCTATTTTCCTTTTGCCTTTGTTTCACATTTAATTTAATTCTCCTCAAGTGGGTTTAGGGGAAGAAGTCTGATAGTTTGGTCCCTTTTTTCTTTTCTTGTGGGGTGACAGGCAATAAATAATCTTAAAGCTAATGCTGCTGGATTAGCCCAGCAAAGTCATGCAAAGCCTGTTGCAGATACCAAGTTGCCTAAGCCTAAACCTGAGAATGCTTCAGAATCACAATCTAAAATGCTCAATCATTCGCAAGAATCACCAAAACCTCCACCATCATCTGTGCTTCCACCAGATTTTTTTGATGACAACAGTGCTCGAAAGCCAAGATCAGGTAAGGATTTAGTTTAGACAAATATTGCTGTATATTCATACACTCTTGCTCATGCCAACATATACAGCCCATGGAGACAGATATATCTGTCTTGATATGTATGCTGTTACTTCGATTATAGATGTAATATACTCTTCTTTTTCTTTTGCAATGCAGTTTATTAATAAGACACCTATTTGCTTGGAATACTGAGAATTGCAAAATAATCATTTTCTTTCCATGCATTATTATCTTTTCATGAATCTCTACTTTCTATGCCTTGAGAAAATGTGACTTTTGAGAATGGAATTGACAATCTAAAATGCTCTTCTTGGTTGTAAAATATTTTTTTCCACATATATGTATATTAGCAAAAGATAATGTACCATTGAAAAATGTGAGACGAAACTGAATATATTATTGAAAGCAGTGACATCCAATGAGGAGAAAGGAAGGGTTTTTGCTTGCCCTCTGTTGAGGGTTGCCATACCCAATTTTTTGGACTATCATTTAATGATGGAGTATGAAAAGTTGTGGTGTCTGAGATTGTAAACACCTGAGAAAATGGCTTTTAAGGGGAGTTAGGGGAGGAATCTCCCCAGTTTGGACGGGGGGGATCCCTCCCCTCCATTGTATTTTTGCCAAGGGGAGGGCGGCCCCTCCCTCCATTTTTCCATCCAAACAAGGGGAGGGAAAATTTCCCTTCCAACCAAACATGGTTAAGACAAACCATGTTGAAGACTTGAATGCGTTGTTTTCTTGCAGAAAAGGACTCTGTCCAGTCGGTGGACCCTGATTCAGATAAAAGAATGGGGATTTCTGCTCAGAGCCAAGTGTTAAACGCAGAGAAGTTGAAAGGTGGTTTACATAGCAATAATGCAGCACAGCCAAAGGGAAGTCAGGCTGCAATGGAGGCTAGTCAGACATCAGGCATGCCTGCTGATACAGAAGCCAAACAAGTAAAAGGGGTTCTTCCTGAAGGGTTTTTTGATAACAAGGATGCTGATTTGCGTGCTCGTGGCATAAAACCTGTTAAACCTGATGTCAAGTAGGTTCCTGCTTCTTGATGTTTTTGCATTTGACTGCTAAATTATTGGTTACCTCTCTGTTGAAACATGATACTAACTGTGATGCTTTAATTTTTTTGTTGGCCTTGTTATATTTATTTATTTAGTATTGAGTTTCCTGAATTGGATCCTATGGCGCAATTGTCTGCACAAATGAGAGAGTGGAAGAATAATTGTACTAGTTTGAAAGTTGATGATGGAAGAACTTTTGAAATTAAAGGGAAGTGGGATGCAAAATGAATAGAGGTAGCTTGGAAAAACAACTATGAAGAAAAGGGGATTTAAGGTCATTGGAAGTCCTAATTTCCTTTAGGCTAAATTACAAATGGCCTGCCTCAACTTTGAACCCAAGGCAAATGACTTCCTATTTTAATTTTGACAACGTTTTTTTTTTTTTTGGCCAATAATTTGGTCAATTAACGTATTAGGGGGTCTTTGGATGCTACATCCAACACCCCCCAAAAGTCCTTCTAGAAAGTACATTTTCTAAAAGTTCGTTTGGGTGTAAAAAGATTATTTTGAAAGTCCATCCACAAAACCTAAAAGCTATGGAAAAATCAGTTTGGCAAGCACAAATGGGCGTTACTTTTACCGTTTTAAACTTTTAAGATGTGACGAATAGCCCCTTTTGACTAGTAGTTGTATGATTGTTATGGATGATAGATGTGATGCCAAAATTATCATGTCCATTTAGATTAGCTGTATTATTTAGTTAACAAATTTTCTTGAAGGATCAATGCTGATGCTATTTGGATTGCGGAGAGAATCTTAAGCATAAATCTGTTGGCTGATTGCCCAATGCTAGCTCCGAGCAGAATGCCTGTAGCTAGGCTGCTCCACTGAAACAGATGACACATGTGATAAATCACGATCAAGAAGTGATGGAGAAGGTTGAAACTATTACATTGTAAATAGGTCCCTATTGGCTACAGGAAGTGAAGTCATATCTTTAATCATGGCAATGAGTTGTTGTAAAGAATGATTGCTTCTAAACTTGGTGTGAAGGCTGGCAGAGCTGTTTAAAGAAACTTGAAATAGGAACTAAGAATGGTTCAAACATGCTTTTCAAGAATCCACATCTGTAAGTCACAAGCATGTCAGATGTGTTTTCTAGCATGATTTTATTCCAGGTCACGATCCTGAAGTGGAAGGCTTAGATTTTGGACAATTTGTTGACTGTGGATGCCCTGAGGTCCTTGAGTGATTGAAACACTGGTCACTGTCAATCTGCACCCATTCAGAGTTTCCACCCTTTCCTCTGGAAACTTCTCGTGATTCTTTTGATTAACAAATTGGTGGCAATTTAATAATATGATGGGCGAGTTCCATGTTATCGCATGATCTTTTCATTGTCATGTTGGATTGACGAGTTCCTGAGTGAACTCTATTCCAGCATATCCTATCACTCATCTTTTAAACTACAAATGTCCTGTGTTCTATTTTCCTGCATTATTCAAGAGATTTGAACATTGAATAATATTGACTTTTGTTAAATCCTCTGTTAGGGACGAGTACAAGGAATTTGAAAAGTTGATTCAAGACGACTTGCAGGAGGTGGATGACCGGTTTGAGGAAGAGGAGGTGCTGGTTCTCAGTTTCTTGTTGCTCTATTTTTAATTAACTATTGATTTACCGCTGAGATATGTGTGCACTGCAAATATGCAAAATGATCTGTCTGTTATTACAAATGCAGATTGATGCTGCTGAAATGATTGAAGAAGCTGAATCCGTAGAGCAGAAGTATGCTTAGTTTCTGATACTACTCAAACCCTATTTTGTTACTTCATCTTGCTCTGATCTCCATCCTTTGCTAAATCTCTATTCTATGCTCTTCTCTTTGTACAGGAACAACAGAGAGAGAGTGGAGAAGTTGAGGAAGAGGAGATTGGAGTTGAAGGCTGCTAAAGATGCAAAGCGTAGTAAAACTTCTGAGGTGGTAATGGAGTCTAAACGTGACGAGCCATCAAGCGATGATGACAGTGAAGATGATTTTGCAGTGGACTGGAGAGCACAACACCTGTGAATAATTGTCATTACCCACCCTCCTCCCGAAAAGAACAAAAAGAAAAAAGAGAGAAGAATCTGAAGTATTGTGTACATTCATGTGTAGGACATTTAGTATTTGTAAAACTTCTCATTTTAACTTGTGCCAAAGAGCAGTCAAACTTATAGCAACAGAGAACATCTCGACGTTCCTTTCCTTGGGGAGGCTAAGGCCTAATGTTCTGTGTGGTTAAGGGAATATATATTAATTTCTTTCGGTTTTTTTATTAAGTATAAGAAGTAGACTCTGCATTGAGAACAATGGGGAGACATTTTCGAATTAAATTGTTACATACATAGGGTCTAGGTTTTATTTAAGGACATGAGTGATATTTCTAATCTAAAGAATTTTTTCTTGGGTTTTATTTTTTTGTATTTTGCATATCAAATCTGTTTTCTATTTAGAAAACAACAAAAACAAGGTGAATAGGCGTGATTTACTTGTCTTTCTGGCCGAGTTATAGAGACTTGGTAGATTTGTTTTTATAAAAAGTTTCGTAATTAATGTTCTCTCATATTATTTTGACCTTAGATAAAATTGGGAATTATGATTATCGTTTCTTTTTCTTGGGAAAAAAAAATCAGCGATCAGATTTTGTATATGAAAATTGAAATTAAACATTTTGTTTTTAAAGAATTTATAATTATAAAAGTTATTATCAGCCTTACATTCATATATAACATAAAAATGCTTTTATGAGTGGCAATTTATTAATGGTTAGAAATCAGAGTCTTTTACTAATTAAGTTGGCATGTGTCTTGTGATTTAAACAAGTAATTGGGGATTTAAATTCTAATCCTTTTCTTTTTTTTTTGTTGGGTGAAAAATTTTAATCCTTTTCTATGTAACAATTTAGTTAAGAGAAGTTTACTCATTACTTTCATCAATATTTTACTTAAAAAAATAAAAATAGTAATAAAATACTTTCAAATGTAAATTGCAAACATGTACTGCAAAATATGATAATTATTTTCTAGACTTTAGGTAGTATTTTGATTTTTGAAAAATGACATATGCACCCCTCCTTCAACCCTTACTTTCCTGTGTCTCCCACATCCCTCCCTTGTTCTTCTCTACTGGATTGTCCTGAAACAAAGGGCAAATGTGTGGATGTGGGAGATAGAGGAAAAAAGGGTTGAGGAAGGAGCAAATATATTATTTTTCTAAAAAACCAAAAATGCTGAACAATTACCTAATGATTATAAAATAATTATCATATTTTACTGTATTTATTTGTCATTCACATGTTTCGTTTTATTGTCATTCTCCTCTTAAAAAAGGAAGTTAGAGTTTTTTTTTTTTGAAGAATTGGTAAAAAAGACTAAGTTAAAAGAGAAATTATGCCTAAAGATTAAGTTGAATTCAAGAATCAAACTAAATATTTTATTTATTAAATAATATAAATAAATGATCGAAATATCTCTATGTTTAAATCAATGAAATTAAAAAAAAAAAAAACTGCTAGTTCAAGATGATCCCTAATAGGAGAAGCAGAGAGACGTCAATTGAACAAGGGAAAGTTGAGCGTGGCTGTAACGGAGAGCATTGGCAGTGTGAGTGAGGATTTGGTTGGGCGAGGTTAAGAACATCTAGGAAGTAAAGCGATTGGGGAGGTGGCAAGTGCGACAACAAGGAAGAGACAGCAAACTGACAAGGATGACAGTGACATCAAACCATCGCCTTCAACCCCACATCTTCAACCAACTCTTCAATTCGACTTCCTCCTTTCTTTAGTGACAGTGACAACAAACTCCTCATTGATCTCAACCTCGTGATAGCGACGATGACTTGCTCCAGTGACAGTGACGATTTCCCTTCATTGTTTGCGGGAGAGACCCTTCAATTTCTAGGTGATTTCTGGTTTTGAATTCTATGTGATTTCCTTTCAGCGTCTTCACTTATTATCCTACTATGATTATCACTGTACTTTAATCTTCCATTCAAAGTAGAAATTCCCGTCATACCATTATCATTGATTTGAAAGTTCTATCTATCTAGTTTACCTTGAGAAAATCTGATAGTTAAAAAAACTTTATAGACAATAAAGACTAATGTTATTGGAACATTGTACATGATTGCCACGCAAAAAGAGTAGGAGCATGGTTTGGAGATTTTATTCTTTTTCTTCATTTTATTGGGCAGTATTTGCTTACCTCTACTTTAGAAGTATACGGAGGTCCTCTTGTGCACCCACAACTGGAAAGATATTGAGGTAATGTTATCCTCTTGTGCTATTATGACTATTTAGAAGAGTTTGTTGTAGTTTTGTACAACTTCTGTTGAGAACCAAGAAAGAAGCAAAAGCAAGATCTCTACCTTATAATGTTGCTGCTAGAATGGAGAAATTGTACAAGAACTATAAAGTGTAATACGTATTTTTATTGATCTTGTTTATTCAAACAAATTTTTCCTATATTTCAAATGTCTTGTTTTGAAATACATGTGAGCTTTTTATTTTGTCATATGCATACAAAATGCAAGCATTTTGTTTAGAATTGCTTTATTTTTCAATAGATATAATGTAGATGAAATACTTGACTAAATCACTCATAACATCATAATGAAATCCATGTAAGTATTCAAAACATCATAATGAACCTCCAAAAAATTATGTTTCAAGTATCAATAATATTTTGAGTCTGTCATCTTTTTTATCTATTCACGTTTATAACTTTAAACATTACCTTATGATTGGCATATCAGCTTATGGTATTGGATTAATATCGGTGTGTTTTATATTGTGATTTTGTCTTTAATATGTTTTCTTTGTTATTTGCATAATAAAAGGCAAACTTGTTATAACATTAAATCATCCCATATCAGTTATCATATGAAATCTAGATTTCTCACAAGATAATTGTAAATTGTGATGGGATGTTTAATAATCTTTTAAATTGCTAGTTGCAATTTTGTGGGTGTTGTGTATTAATGTTTGAATGAACTGTTTGTGATAACTATTAATTTTCATTTTAGGCATAATATTTTAGATGTACTAAAGCATAAGGTTTTAGCTGAACATGAGGGAAAAAAAAAGTTCAAGTCAAGAAGCTCTTAGACGCATCTCATAATTCAAGCGAGCTGTAAAGAAATACTGACCAAGGAAATCCCTTGAAAGATTAAATGAAAATATGATTGTATTTTAAAGTGTACTTATAGCCATCTCTCTTATTTGTTTTTTTTTTAAGGTAAGATGTAGTTTAACATGGAGCCTGATGTTGTTCTTACCCCTCATAATATATTTTTTGATATGAAATGGCCTATGATCTTTGTTTATCATTTTGATCATATTTGATAGAAAAACAGACCAAATCTAATATAATTATTGCTGTTTCATTGAAACTTTTGTTATTCATTCTTCTTCTTTATGTTTACTTATTTTTCAAGAACAATTTAGTTGTCTTCCATGTTACATTATTGACTTCGCATCATTTACAGTTTAATATGACTTGTTATACGATACACAATGCTTAAACAAAAGAGAACTCATTATGAGTGTTCTCTTATTTTTTGATTTGGGGCAGCAAAATTAAAAGGTGCAAGAATTTTGGTTTAGAATGTGAGGGTTTTAGTTTAGGTGCAGAGCTTCTGACTTAGGTGCAAGGATCTAGTTTAGGGTGAATAGCTTCTGACTTAATCATTTTCTGTAAATTAGGGGCACTGACAATAGGGTACTTTTTGTATGTTTGATTTTCATATAATCCATGTAAAGTATTCCTCAAGCATATTTGTGAATTTCTTCATATATTTCTTTACATGTAATCTATAGTCGTTTTCATATAACTTAAGGGCACTGATAGGAGCTGCTTTCTATGTGTTTGATTTACATGTAACCTGTTAGAGATTACATGTAAATCATTCCTTAATCATGCTTGTGAGTTTCTTCACATATTGATTTATATATAATTTATATTCATTTTCATGTGATTTTGGGGATTGTCAGGGGCGTGCTCTCTATATGTTTGATTTACATGTAATTCGCTAGAAATTACATGTAAATTATTTTTCAAACTACTCATGATTTTTTCTCATATTGATTTACATGTAATCAATAATCATTTTTATGTAATTCTGGGAGATTGATAAGGGCATGCTTTTTATGGGTTTGATTTATATGTAATTCGTTAAAGATTACATGTAAATTATTTCTTAGACATGCTCACGAATTTTTTCCCATATTAATTTACATGTAATTATAGGGGTGTGATAGTTGGTACATTTTGTGCACTTGATTTACATGTAATTTATAAGATAGTAAATATAATTGTTCAAGTCAAAAACCTTACACCCTAAGCCAAAACACGTGCACCATAAGTTAGATCCTTTGCACTCAAGCCAAAAACTTTACACCTCAAGCAAGAACACGTGTTTGCATCTCAAATCCAAAAGCTTTACATCTAAACTAGAAGCCTTGCATCTTAAACCAAAATCCTTGCTCTCAAGCTAAAAGTCTTGAACTCTTAAGCCAAAAAATTTGCTCTCAAGCTATAAGTCTTAAACCTTAAGCCAAAATCCTTACACCCTTTGATTGTTGAGTTTACATATAATCTTTGATGATTACATGTAATTAAGGGGAGTTGAATTTTTTTGGCAACTCTTCATTTGCTGACCGGAGTTCCGACAAATGTATCCTCAATTATTAGAGGAATGGCCAAAGCTCTGTTCATTGAATTTTGTGCATCTTTTTTAATTTCTTTTTAATTAACATAGTGGAACATTTTAGTCATTTCATCAAATTATTTTATAAATAAAATAATAAGTTTGGTCTTTTAATTTATTTTTATCCTTGGGTATAATTTTAGTTTCAACTAGGTTATCTCGACCAATTCTCCCCTTTTTTATATATTCATTCTTACGGAAAAAAAAAAACCCCTCAACCGAAAAAAAAACTGGAGCCAATGAAAAGGGCTGATTCAGGTCCAAATCACTCGAGCCAGCTGACGACGTCACTATTCAACGAAACCGGGAAACCGCCAAGGGACGTCGGCGTGCAGCGTAATTCCCAGGATTCGGAAGACCTCGAACACGGTGTTTTGGCAAGAGCTTATTCTTCGACCAAAGATAAAAAGATACATAAGCGGATGGACAGAGCCAAGTATGTGGCATTGGTGGGAGCTGGAGCTCTCTTGGGCTCTGTGTCTACCGTCTTCGTTCTAAAGCTTCTACAAAAGTGAGTCAGTCTCTACCTGCTTGCCTACCGAGAAATGTATAAGTTAAAATTACCTTTTTGGACGCTTAGCTTTGTTTCCAAACTGTAGCATGAGCAAGTGAACTATTTCGTGCCTTATCTCTTTGGGTCTAAACGTATATGTGACGGAGATAGTGTGAGTTCCGGGAGAAAAATTTGGGTTGTAAATGCAAACTAGAAACTTTGTATTCATTAATTGAGCCTAACCAATAATATGATCATTTTGTCTTTGGAGGCATGATGTTGCCTGCTAGGAAGAAAACTAAGGCTGGGAAAACGGGATATTTCAAATACTATGCAACGCTTAGTGGTTGCCTCTTGCCTCGGATTTGGAGTTTATCTTTTTTCAACGGTACTGACTATGATTTTTGCAGACGCAGTGTACAGCAATGCCGAAAGAATACTACTGAATTAAACGGTACGTGATGTTTTGTCTTCAACTTGTCTGATTTTAATTAATCCTGTTCTTATCTGATGCCCTTAATCTTTGCCTGATATGAAATTTCTTGGTTTTAGCATAAATGGGGTAAATATAGGAAAAAGAAAAGCATTTGCAGTAACATTCAGATGATCATTGGTGTGAGCAAGTTAGAGTATTGCCATATACATATAAAAAGTCCTTGCTAAACAACGGACTTTTTAGGGGCTGGCTAATGATACTGTAGGTTGAATCTGAATGTGGTTATATGGGGTATAGTGAATTATTTGTATTCAATCCCTTCCATTTATTATGTGGTGTTTGCAATTTTGCTTAACAAATAGTAATTTTAGGTTTATTGATGATAGTGGTGGCACAGTGATGTTTATGCCTATTGTGGCAGTTATCCTGCCCTTCTACTGCATGGTCATGCACATTTGCTAAGGAATACTGTTCATGTGTTTCAATTTTCAACTAGGTTGCAATACGTAGTTTGTGCTCTCACATGGACAAAGTTTTATTTCATGCCATAGAATTAAGAACACTGGTTGTTGTTCAGTGTTTTGTTGTAAGTGTGGGTCTTGTGTCTTGTACAGGTATGGAGAGATGTACTGCCACTCATAAAAAGAATGATAAGGTGGCTAATGAAGATCTTCTAAATGATGAGATTGTTTCTGAACACCTGACTAGGTATGCCAAGTTGTCACCCTTAATCTCACAATTCCATTTAATAAATTATCTCTTTGCCTCACTATGTATTATATTGTGGAACTTGTTGGCAACATGTGTTACGATCTTATTCACAGCAGACCATTGGCTAGTAGCTCTTATGCTTGTGTAGGTCAATGCCCAATCTCATGAATCAATATATTTGGCCTTTTGGTATCATGCTGATGTAATGGTGATGGGATATATAACTAATTAGATTTAGGATTTTCATTTTATCAAAATGATTACTTAGACTTGAATTAGGATTTGATTTGAATAAATGTAATCTTTTAGATTACTAGATTATCTTTTAAATTATTTTAGAATATTTGCATTAAATTATTAGGATTCCAGATTCCTTAAATATTCTCACTTTTAATGCTTTGATTTTAATACTAGGGTTCAGTCCTATAAATAGTACCTTAACACATTTTTTGCATGCCTTTTTGAATGGATAAGAATTGAGTATTATTTGACTTCCTTTTGAGTTTTTCTCTTCTCTTTAATCTCTTGATCTCTGTTCTCTCTTCTCTTTTCCCTTTGCCCCTCCTCCGTTTTGCATCAACTAGTTGTTCTATATGTCTAGACATTTTATTTAGTCTGGACGTCACTTCAAAGATTTCTGTCATGCATATTGTCTTACTAGGTTTGATAGGCAATTAAAGGTTTTTACATGTTACTTTGTCTGATATGATGAGTCTTGAGACTAATAAACCAAACAAATTTGAGTTACTATTATTGCACAGGCTTGTGGTTTGTTTCTTAGGCTTGTTTAATGTGAACAAGCTGATTAGAGAGCAATTATTATATTTTAGCTATTATGTTTTGCCCCAGTGAGAATGAAGCTTTTTTTTCTGTCTTTTGTGACTACTAAGACAACATCTCTTTTAGTCTCTATATCATCGCTTAATGTTATAGATTTATTTATGGTACATCTTCACATTCTAAGGGATACGAGTCACGTTTATGAGAGATGTCCTTTTCTTGAGCGTTTACTTATCAAACAGTTTTTTCCTCTGGAATATTCATTGTATTAATAGGAACATTCAGTTCTTTGGTTTTGAATCTCAAAGGAAAGTGACTGCATCATATGTTGTGGTCATTGGCCTTGGAGGGGTTGGTAGTCATGCTGCATCTATGCTTTTGAGGTCAGGGGTTGGCAAGCTACTTCTAGTGGACTTTGACCAGGTTTCTTTCTGCAATATCTTTCCTTCTCTATGTTTTGTTTTCTCCATTTCTTTCTTTGTATTAGGGTTTCAGTGTGTCATCCCTGTTTGTTTTGTGCTCTGTTTCCTTGTGAAAGGTGGAACCTCAAACTACTTATGTCCAAGGCTCTATCTGATGGGCTGGTTTGTAATTAATGTATGCTTTCCTAATGTTTGTATTTTATTAATTTTTTCAAATGCCATAAGTGGTGGTTTTTTTTGCCAACTTATATTACATCATAATGTTTTATGAAGTCAATTGTCAAACATGGTTCGAAGCATTTTAATTTAATTTGGAGCATCTTTCCTTCAGATGCTTGATACCCTCTGTAATAAGGAACATGTCCTGTAAATATAAGTTTTAAAATCTATATGTGAAAAGTAAAGATGTAATGATGTTGATTGTTGGTTTAAAAAACTGGGGGGGAATCAAATATCAACTGGGTACTTTTGTTTTTATCTTCCTGCTAAAGATATTTTTAAAAGCTTCAGATATCAACCTTTACAGCCGTGTGTTGTTATTTATCCTAATATAAGCCATTGTATGACTTAAGAAGCCCATAAATCGTTTTTTTAAAACATCTCATAAATTAGGAAGGAATTGTAAATTTGATGTCATATTTGGTTGCATTAGAATCTTTTTAGATAATTTTTTACAATAATATACTCATTTATTTATTAAATGAGAAGGTTTCTCTTTCTTCACTAAATCGACACGCTGTTGCAACAAGAGCAGATGTTGGCATCCCAAAAGCTCAGTGCCTCAAGGAGCATTTCTTATCTATTTTCCCGGAGTGCCAAATAGATGCAAAAGTTCTGTTATATGATACATCTACTGAAGAAGAAATTCTCTCAGGCCACCCTGATTTTGTTCTGGACTGCATTGACAACATTGATACAAAGGTATCTTCTATTGAATTACTCATTATTTTATTATATTGATGTGTGCTAGTATTCTCCTTTTAAGGAATATTTTTCATACATCATAGACATACCCCAACTTGATGAATTTGGATAGTAATGTGACCCAACCAGGAATACAATGGAAACAATAAATAAGACAATAACAGCACTAAATATGAGAGGAAAATGCTGAGGTTTTTTTTTTTATAATAATGAGCTGAATGAACCGAATCAGAGTTACAAGGACACTCTCTGATTCTGGCAAAAACCATATTTCCTCTATAAAATCAAAATAACTCCAGCCACCAGATTACAAGCTTCAAAATAAAAGTTCCACTCCCACTGGCATTCGGGAGGCTAGTCTCTCCTCACAATATCATTATCCTTTCTGACCCCCACTCTCCAAGCAAAAGACGATTAATACCTTCAGCATGGCTTACACACAGCCTATACTACCCAAAAGATTCTAATCATAACAAAAGATCACAAATTACTGTTCCTTACGGCTAGGGACTGAAGGATAAGTCCTTGGACCAGTTAAAGTATTTAGAGTTATTCCGCCCCTTTGACTTCCTCCGATGTCTTAGGAAAATAACGGGCTCTATCAGATAGTATACCTAATAATCGTAAAAGTAGTTTTTGCTTTTATATCAATGATTGATTTTTAATTCACTTGAATGCTTACACTCAGAGCTGTGAGAATTGTTGAGATTGTAGATGTATCAGCAAAGGTTGTAGATATATGTACACTAGTCAATATGGTTTGGCTTCCTGGAAGGATGAAACCCAATGGCACATTCCTACCTTCTAATCATCTTCCCTTTTTAAAGTCATTCTTATGCTAACACGTAATGATCTTGAGTTCACTTTCAATTGCTTGATTTGTGGATTGTGATAGGTGGCCCTTCTTGCTGCATGTGTACGTAGGGGATTGAAGGTTCTATCTGCTATGGGAGCTGGTGCTCGGGCCGATCCAACAAGAATACGCATTGCTGATCTAAGAGAATCCACTAATGATCCATTATCTCGAGCTGTAATACTTTGACATTACCTTTTTTTACTATTATTATATTTTGTTGGGCCTAAAACCGCATATTGTAATTGCTTAGGCAGTTTAACTTGCTACTTAGTTTTTCCTTTCCCTATTGTATGCACTAACGCCTATATATCCTAAGAGTAAACCATTGTCTTGCCTTCTCTCACATGCATTCATATACTCAGCAAAATACTTGTACTAAAAAGCATGTGCCCATGCAAAGGTTGGAACTCTTTTGGATGCAAGAATCTTTAAAAGACCAAAATTTTATAGATCAGTTTATAGATTCATGGGTAATCTAGACAAGATTGTCCTCTTGGCATACTTTTCATGTTACTTGGAATATCAATATTTGATGTTCAACATGAGTGTTATTATGAAAAGAAAATAAAAGCCAACATGAGAGCAAGCTTTTTCATGGTGATGTTTCCCCTTTGCCTATATTGCTATTGTTAAGATTTCTGACAATAGTTATATTATCATACCTTTATTAGGTAAGACACCGCTTGAGGAAAGATCATGGCATTGAAGGTGGTATTCCTGTTGCCTTTTCTTTAGAGAAACCCAAAGTAAAGTTGCTTCCATTCAAAGGACCAAGTGGAGAAGGGGAAAACCCTTCAGACTATCAGGTGAGAGTATTGGTTTTGTTAATTTTTGACTTACTAATAATACCACCGATATGCTTGTTATTGTTTGGTAATGTAGTTTATGCTTTGCTGATTATTATCATTACTGTAATGTTTAATGACATGGATCGCCATGAGTCTGTTATAATGGCTTAGATTGCTGACATCTTATCTGTTGCTAGATTGTACCAGGCTTTAGGGTCCGTATCATACCTGTGCTGGGCTCCATCCCGGCAATATTTGGACAAGTCATGGCCTCCTATGTTGTGACATGTCTAGCAGGGTTGCAAGTTCAAACAGAACCTGTAGTCAATTTTGACACGGATCATTACCATACTCTTCATCAGCGCCTAATTGAGCATGAGGAGTCATTGTATGGCTCAGCTGTGCATGTGCAGGTATGAAGTTTACCTTACGAACATCTTGTCAAAGTATATAACTTTATTGTTGGGTAGCATATCCTTGCTAGGAGTTCGTGGACAATGGGGCATCTGAGTAATTTATATGTTTATATTCCTTCTCTGTACACAAAGCATTCTGTGTTACTTGAAAGATATATTTTGTGTGTTACTACTTTTACAACAACAGGCCTTATCCTAATAGATGGAGTCAGCTACATATATTGCATAATGTCATTGTGCTCTATCAACAACCAAAACTTTAGATATATTGTTAATTAAAAGATCTCATTCAATAACTTTATTGAGTGTTTTCTTTGATATTCTTCTACCCTTTTTGACAAAAATCTAGACTTAGACTATATATTCCACCCTCTTCTTTGGTGCCTTCAACAGCCTTCTGTCTACATGTTCAAACTATCTCAAATAATTTTCTATTATTTTCTTATCAATAGATGTCTCACCAACTTTTTCTTGTATGTGATTATTACTTCTACAATCTGTTGTTATTTAATTTTTGACATAAAAATTATCTCAAGTGGAAACTTTAGATTTTGTGAGAACTACGGATTTAGATCGCTCTTTGTAGGTCGGAAGGCTTGGTTTAAGGTATGTACCATGTCGAAAGCTAAAATGGGATAGTAAAAAAGTGATTAAATTGGGATGAAAATGCTGCCGTGATTCTCTGAAGAGTGTGTTAAAGATGCTCAAAGTGAGATATAATTGACTAGGAGTTCCACGAGCACTGGCGTCTTTGGTCTTTGAATAAGCAGTTTGAAATTGAAGGAGTTGCAATTGAGCTAATGCAAGAGAAATTGAAGGCATTGCTGGCATGCCCCTCGGGTAGCTCCAAACAGTAACATAGTTAACACTTTAGCTACTAATTATCTTGAAATTTGATAGAAACTCTGCTGCTCTGTATTATTCAATCCAAATACTAGAGTTGATATGACAGAAACAGAAATATAGTTATGACATAGCTATAGAGCAAAATAAGAACAAACATGCAGATAATAACTTGAAAGGTATCCGGCATTCAAGAGGCTGGATCCTCTGCTCAGGTTTCCTTCTCTAGATTTTTTGTTCCCTCCTCAGCCGTGAGTCCTCAATATTCCTTCCTTTCTGCTTGTCACTTCACAATCACCATGTGTCAGTTAGCTACTACCATCCTTCATTTTCTTTGCTTCCCTCCCAATCATCTTACTTCATTTCTCCTTACTAGAATGGATTTTCAGCAGCTTTAATTGGGCCATGCCCAACTTGCTCATTTCTCTTTGTATTCCTAAGGTTATGAGTTTCAGTTACAGCAGGCCCGTTGGGTATGAGAAGGTGAAAATTAACTAATCTGATGCCTTCCTCTGGACCAGAATCTCCTTATTCATGTTACTGTTCATGGATTGTGATGGAACCCTCTACTCTATTAAGCTTAAAAATAAGCAAAACCAGAAATACACTGTAAATGTAACCAACAATTACTATTGCTGAACAATAGAGTGGGATTACAATCAAAATAAAGACTGAAACTACACTCAGATGGCAATTACAGAGGATGAAACAACATAAACTGCACGCTCTGAGCAGCAACACGAACACTGGTGTCTCACAAATACAAACTGAAGTAGAAAGATAAAATGATGAAAAAAAGATGATCTTCTCCACCCCTAATTTGGCATTCCAGAGGCCAGATCTCTTCTCACTTGACCACAATTCTCCAATAGTCCTCTCCATCCCTCATCACGGAAGTACATATTTAAAGAGTCAAAAAGTAGTCATTACCCCTACTGACAGTACCCATATCCTAGGCTACACCTAACCTGACTTTTCTTTCATCATTTCAATTTTACAGTTATAAACCTTCAAATAAACCTCTTGACCACTGGTCTTAGTCTTCTCTAAATCACCTCCCTGCCTAAATTGTCTACTGTAAGCCTTAGGAAATGACAGGAAAATCTTTTGGGAATCACCAGCTCTATCAGATTGATCCATTGAAGATTGAGCCACGCTGAAACTCATCCAAAAATGACCCTTGAGCGCATGGTCAAAACAGTTATTTAAACTGACTGAGCTAAAGGAAAATAGCTACACCTCGAGTTGGGAGTTAAAATAACTGGTTAGCTTGCCAATATAGTTCATTTACATGACTTTCATGTATATCCTCAAAACTAACGCTCCTGGAAAGGACCTAATGATTTTTTTCCCCTTTTGCCAAACCACACACAGTATGATATAGCTAAAGGATTTAAATTGATTTAGAACTAACAACAGACTTATAAGTTATTATTCTTAAATTAAACTCATTCTAGTTCTTGCTTGAAGAATATTTATACATGTCTAGAGATATAAGCATTGAAACCATTCCTATAATTTCTTCGGAGTTCTAATAGTTTATTACAATGCTCCTTGACATGATATTGGAGCCTCCATGACCAAACAGTTGGGAGTTTTGTCCCTGTCTCTATCATTCACTTAAGTAGGTTAAAGTTCAGGACAAGGTATGGGAACGTATATTTTTCCATGCCCTAATCCTTAGGGCTATGACTACTCAGAACTGGCGGTATGTGAATCAAACCCATAATAGCCTTCTCTTAATTGCTTAAGTTCTTAGCTATGAAGCATGGACGCACCTATTTCCTGGTATTTCAGAAGTGCCTATTATATTGAAGTATTCTCTCTTTTTTTGGTCAAATATTGGAGTAATCTCCTATAATTTATTTCAAAAGTTTGGTTACAAAAAGAAGAAACAATATGCAGTTTACAGGATAATTTGGTTTATATGGTTGGTAGGAATATCTGCATCTTCAAAAGCATATCATTACGACATTACCTCTACATAAGTTATGGGATAGAATTTCTTATATGGCTTCCCTTTGGTGCTCTGCAAAAGGATATATATATATATATATAAAGGGAATATGTTTTTGACATGCAGAGAGGTTGACAAGCTTTCTGTCATTTACGAGTTATTCTGGCATTTTGCTCCTTTGATTTTGTTATGAGAATCTCCTGTTATTCTCTTTTGAAGACATATTATCGACCAAGTAGTATTTTACTGTTATCCTTAGCAAAATTTCTTTTATTTAAATTAAAACTGTCAATGTACTATCGTTAGTGGACATTTTAGCGATTCTTAAAGCAGCTGGCATGCCTCAACGTAATCATTGTGGATTCTGCAAAGTTGCAATTGAATACTACAACAAATTCATCTAATTTTTGTGTTTGACTCTGTTTAATTCTATACATGTGATTGTTTTATTACCCACACAAGAATTACACGTTTTCTATCATCTGTTGTCTTTGTTCCCACTTCAAAGGTTGATGTGGAAGAAGTGATGTATATTGCCAAAGAATTGTGGCACGGCAGAAGTGCTAGAGAGCAGTTTGCTAAAGATGTTGGACGAGGGATGTGGCGATCAGTTAATGAATTGATGCTTGTAAGGTATGGATGACTCTGTTGTCCTGTAGGGTGTCATTTCGAAGCTTTGCTCAATTACTGAATTACATGCATTCCTTCTCTTAAACGTAAGACCAATTCCTTTCAATTTGCATATACCTACTCTAATTAACGTCCCTTTAGCCACTCTGGTGGCTTGCTCTTTCTATCAGTAGGAACGTAGGTCTGAAATCTTCGACTTTCGCTTTAATTTTCTATTAGATTACACGTACTCAAAATACATGTCCATGTCATCTAAACATTTGAGACAACTTTGTTTTCCCCAATTTAAAAAAGAAAGGAAGAAAGAAAGAGTGACTTTTTATGGAAAGAAATATGCTTAAATCATTAGTGAAGCTTACAGAGATGCCCCTCCACCAAAAAGAGAAAATAAAAGTGAAGTCTAAAAGCTTTAGTGTTGTATAGATGGGATGACAACCTAATCTTACTGCACATTTTGATCTCTTTTTCTCTTTACTATAAAATTTCCATGTATATTTAGTGACTTTGAACTCATTTGAATCTTTTCTGCTTTGACTGTTCAGGTGGGATCGCACTAAACCGGCCAATGTTTCAAATCTAATTCTTTTAAAATTCAAAGAGGTAATTTAGTAACTGCCATCCCGGGAGTGAGCTTTATTTTGTATGGAATGCCTATTTATTCGATGCATGTCTCTATATACGCACCCTATTTAAATAGGAAGTGCACCGCCCATGACACAACCACTGCTTCATAAAGGGTACAATCGTGAAATGTGACATTTCTGTACTCAGCATCATTTGTTACTTAGGTGCTATTACGAAAATGGACCTCTGAATTTCATATATTCCTAGAATACTCCCTCTGGTTCTATTTATAAAGTAGAGAGAGAATTTTTATGATCTATTTATGAGGCATGTTATTGGTTTTTTATCATAGGTTTCCTGCTTTACCTCCCTTTAAATTGGTGAGAGAAAGTAAGTTATTTATGTATATTTAATAGGGAGGGACAAAGTTGTGAACTTCTTAAACTTTTCAATAGACTTAATGAGTTTTAAAGTTTTCCTTTGTTCCATTAAAACATGTTAAAAATAACTTATAAATAAGATTAAAAGAGGTTTTTTTTTTTGCGAGATCCTGAAAATTTATTTAAAATATTATTTAGTAGGTGATACATGAAAAATTCAAAGCTGCGTTTGATTATAACCAGTGTTCAGATTTCTGGGCGTGGTTGGAAGATTAAAACTAATCATAACGAGTTTATGTGCCAAATTATAGCTCTAACCTGCAAAACAACACCCAATCGCTAAATTGAAAAATAGTGGCTGAAAGATTTTGTTAGCTATCAAACGAGTGCCCTCTTTTGCTGCTGTCGCTGTAGTGGTTCTCTCTTCGTCCTTGTATTAGAGTTGTCAAAATCATTGTGAAGATAACATGTTTTTGATGATGTTTTGATATCTGTTTTGCATTACTTGAAAATATTTAGATGGATAATTTAGTTCTTTATTTGTTCAGGCGGATGAGCATGAGTCACGGACAATAGATGATATAAAGAAGGAAGAACCAGAATTCTACAAGAGAGTAACTGGCGTTCTAAGACGAGCTGAACTTGACTTTGGGTTGTGATAAACATTTTGCTTAGGAGGGAAGGAGTGATTTATGCGAGACTTTAGCTTAGGGTTTTGTCTGTAAGAATTGTTTTCTTGACAAGCAAGAAGGAAAATAAATTTAATTAGGTAAGAAAAATTATGTATTATTTTTCTTTTGATTGTGCTGAATTATGGAGTATGGGTTTGCCCTTGTGGCTAGTGAGAACAATTTTGCTAACGATCTTACCCTTTGTAATGTGAAGGTGCCTTAGTCAATACTTGATAATTTTATTTGAAAACTTGCAGTCAAATTATACGGTCAGCGTGATGGTATCATTCAGAATTGATCAATTTAAGTCATGAAAATTTCACCTATCTCGATCGTACTAAAAAAAATATATATATATATATATATAGTTTTATTAGCATGACAATGCTAAGATCAAATCCCCGGTCAAAGGCAAAGAGAAATTAGAGTTTGTCATGTAATTTTAAAAAAATTCAAGCCCAAGCAATATCATTGGAGCCTGGAGCATCTTAAATTTAACTGGACTTTTATGGCCCATGTCCCTAGTGCTACCTTGATTAACATGGTGAACACGACACGAGCTGCTGATCTAGTATTCTTTTTGGACGCTTCAATATTTTCGTTGACTACCAAGTAATTGGTCCCAACTCTCAATCTAACTGAAACTTCTTTTTCCAGTCCAAACTTTGAAGCCTTATTACCTTCTCATTTTCTTTCTTTCTTTCTTTATTTTTCCTTTTTATCAATGATGCCTCGTTCTTTGCCTGTCTTCTTCATGTAGCAATAGTCTGCTCTCTGCTGGCTACCTTTCTGCGTCTTCTTTGTTCAGCATGGGGCTGCCTTTATAATCCATTGTCACAAAAACAAGCATTGACTTATCATTTTTTTTTTTTAGATTTTCTTTTGAGAAATATATATTTTATTAAAAATTAAATTGAAAAACACTCGCATCCTATATTCTATTTTTATCCCGGTGATATTGATGGGAAACTGAATCCATTTGTGGAAATGGATTTGTATGTTTAATAGAAAACGAAAACAAGGCAAAAAGGTAAATCACTTTCTGTAGATGAATGCCATTGCTAAAAACAATATCATGTATTTTTCAAGCATAAGGATTGACGTGAACGACTCAACCAAAAAATCGAAAAGTCAATCTATTGTTTAATGGAAAGCTTGGCAAGGATCTTTTTCCATTGTTAATCAAAGATCAATGCCGAAACCCTCTTCTGTTATTACAATCTATAACACCAAGACATGCAAACCTCTCGACTATGACGCTGAAAACAAAGTGCAGAGCTCGAAGCCATACACACCACTTGGAATCACCTGGAACATAAGAACGAAACAACCTCGTTAACCGAATCCATAAGCTAGGATGGCTTAAAAGAAAATAATAATGATAGGATTTGGCAATGCAGCAAGAAAATCAACTGGGGCATGAAGGACAAGAGAGGCCTAATACCAATACACCAATCATTTCAGCCATGACTTTCCCTGGAATTATTCTTGCATGGTGCATCCTAATGCTCCTTTCATCCTGGGATTTTATCATTAGCCTAACCGGAGGGAGAGGGGACCCGTGCTACCACTAACAATCTATAATCAATTTATTCATAAAGAGCTGAGTATTGTGCCATCGAGTTAACGAGTCACTGTTTCAGCTTTCCACGATCGGAAACATGAGAGGCGCACTCATTTCATACAGCAAATAATAGAGTTTGAAGAATGGTGATAGATAGGTTACCTCCTGTGCTCTTGAACGAACTTAGACTTCTTAGCATCTTCCTCTGTAAGACCAGCGGTGAACTTGACGATTAGGGTTCCGGTGATGGCGAAGCCAACCAGGAAGGGCCAATTCCGATTCCACTCTCGCTTAAAGAAAACAGGCCATGGATCGAACTTCCTCATTTCTCGCTGCTGCTAAGCCTTCGTTTCCCTTTTCACCGTCTTGCTACCTCCTCTCCCTCAACCGCGAAATCCGTAGGTTGCGAATGCTTCTCAGCAATCAGCCTATACCCGCATCGCAAATTTCGCAATGGACTGGACTTTCGCGACCCAGTCCAGAATAGCAATATCATGTATTTTAATATTAAGCAAAAATATATATCATTTTGAGTCTTCATTGTGCTGTCTCATTTTAGGTGGTACATTAAGCTTCATTTATTTAAGATTAAAAAATAAATAATTTTAAGTAATTCTGAGATTTTATAAAAAATATTTATTTTATAAAAATTTTGTAAAAAAAATTATTTTATATTTGGTTATAATAATAATAAATAATTATTTTATAAATTTTATGATATATTACTTGATTTTTGTTTTAATTTAATACATTATAGAAAAAAAATTATAAATAGGTCCTGTGGAGCTGACTTATTGACAAATAAGTCATACAAAATTTAAAAACTGCAACTAGGTCTCTTAAAACCTAAGTCTAATTAAAAATTTGAATTAAAAAAAAAACAATAAGGTCCCTATGAAATATATATATATATTACATGAGTTAAATAATTGATAACTATAATTTCAACATTTTAAAACTACAATTTCATATATCTAATAATTAAATTGATCAGTTTAACTATTGAATATATAAAGTTATAGTTGTAAAAAATTAAAATTATAACTATAAATTACTGATGAAATAGTTATAAATAATTAATATTAAACTTTGTTAGTAACGTATAATTATTTAATTATTAAATATATGAAGTAACAATTATAAAAAGGTAAAATTATAATTGTAAATTATTGATAAAAATAGCTATAAATTAATTATTTGATTAATGTAATGTATGTTAATAAAGATATTATTGTCATTGTAGCTTAATCTTAAATTAGACTCAGGTATCAAGAGATCTGGCTGCAGTTTTTGAATTTTATAAGACTTGTTGTGAATAAGTTTAATCTATGAGACCTATATGTAATTTTTCTTAAATTATTAGTTTAATAATTTAAATTAACTAATATTATTTTGTCAACTTATATATTATAAAAAAATGACAATAAAATCTCAACGAAATATATACATAATAATCAGGTTTCTCAAAATGTTATAATTCTTTTGAAATTTCTTCATACTTTTCTAACATGAATAACTTTATGTTAATTGACTAAATTGTTCCTTATTTAAAATAAAAATAATGGGTTTGGCTCTATTTTTTTAAGTACAATTTTTTGTTAAGTAATCAACATTTTTGTTTTTTGAATCGCAACAATTAAATGAGAAATAATAACTTCTTATGTGAAATTTATTTTATGGTTGATAAATAAGTTATGAAAATAATTATTCTCAATTACAACTTTTATTTAAGTAATCATAACTTTAATTATGTGAATTATAAAAGTTGAACAAAAAATTACAACTTCTCACATGAAATTTCTTTTATTATTGAAGTCTAAATTATGAAAACAATCAATTACAACTTTTGTTTAAAAACTCATAACTTTTATTATATGAATTGCAAGAATTGAATAAAAAATCACATCGCATATGTAATTTTTTTTATCATTAAGTTCAAGTTTTGAAAATAATTAATTATAAATTTTGTTCAAGCAATCTTAATTTTTATTTTATAAATTATAAGAATTGAAGAAGAAATCACAATTTCTTATATGAACTCATTATTTTGTTTTATTTTAAACTAGAGATAATCATTTAACCTAAAATTATTAATATCAAAAAGATACTTAAAGATTTTAGAAAAATTATAGTATTTTGAAAGACCTGATTATCAATTTATCATTTATATATTTTGATAAAATTTTATTATCATTTTTCTATTATTATAATTATTATTTAAAAATTTAAATGACTCTTAAACAAAATTTATGTTAAAGAGGGGGTATTTTAGTTAAAAATATATGATTTAATGGTTAATTAATAGTTTTGAATGAATAAAAATGGAATTTTTAAAATAGACGAGAGCTATGTGTTATATAGATTTTGATTTTTAAAGAGATTTATATAAGTTTTAAAAATAGAAAAAAAATCTATAACTAAGATAAAATAAAAGGGATGTTGGCATATTTTATTTTATAAAAAAAAAGTTTATAGCTCAAATAAAAATAATACAAATGGTTTGCCCAAAAGAAAAAAAAAAAAACGATGCAAATGACATGTTTCATCACAGACCTTTGGTTTCTCCTCATAACTGGACAGCACCGTCGATGAAATCAACACAAATGACGCGTTCGTTCCCATGCTTGACCCAACTGTTTCTCTTTATATCTAACGAGACGAAGCCTTCAATGAAATTAGAAAAAATATAACTTTAAATCTTTATATTTGTTTAAATTTTGTTACATATTTCTATTTTTTTTTTTTGTATTTCAGATCCTTACATTTTTATTTTTTAATATTTTAAATCCTTCAATAAGTATTGTTATAAGGGTTTGGAACATTAGAAAATAAAAATATATGAATTTAAAATATCAAAAAAAATGCAAAGATTTATAGCAAAACTTAAACAAAGTGTAGAGATTCAATTTTTTTTCTCATAAAATTAAAACAAATGGCATTTTCATGCTATCGATTAAGCATTACCACCTCAAATATGAAATTTCAGCCTTTTAAATTTACATGTATTTCTTTAAAATTTATAATCTCTCTTCCAGAAATTTTAACTAGGTAAAATTATAATTTTTTTTAGGAAATTTGTATATTTAAAAGTTGACGGTTAAATTTTGTGTGAAGATTAATAAATAATAATAATATTTAAATTATTTTTTAATCATTTATCAGTGCTTTTACCAATAGTGGTGATCTGAAAATCATGTGATAGCCCATCAAAGAGATTGATTCAAATGATATTTTGATTTTTAATGTGAGCAAGAAATAACATTAATTTATTATAATTTATTTATAATTTAAAGGACTTGATTAATATTAATTTTTTATACAAAATAATTATGTATAATTTTTTGGATCTTAAAAAATTAGATAAATTAACACTTTAACCCTATTTAATATTAGACTAAAATGCATATAAGTTCCTAAATTTTGAGGCAATTGCATATAACCCACATCACCTCTTTAACATTTAAAACTGATCACTCTAACCTTTAATTTTATTTTTCAAAGCCTCCTACTATCAATTAACTGTTATTTTATTAATATAATTATTGTTATGTCAGATTAATGCAATATATATGGTACATGATATGAAAAAATATTTTTACTATTTTTTAATACAATTTAAAGAGGGACAAAATTGTAGGGTTTGTTTGGCAATCTATTATGGGAACAGTTTTTTACTCTCCAAAACAAAATAAAAAAATAAAAAATATGTTTGATAATGTATTTTTAAAAAAGTATTTTGGAAAATAAAAAAATAAAACATTGTTTTAGAGAATAAAAGAATATAAATAACTTCTAAATATTCTCAGATTAATAAAATAAAAACAGTTTCAAACAAGCTCATAATTTTTACTTTTAACACAAGTTGAGCAACATTATTCTCATTATTTATGGGTAACATAATTTAAAAGAAAAATTATACTTTTATTATTCTTTATCAATTAAAACAACTTTTTATATTAAATAAATAAAAAATATTTAAAAGTTTTCATCATTGAGAATCATATAAATAAAAATTTATCCTCTAATACAATAAAATTATGATATTTTATAAGTTCTTTTTAACAAAATCCATACAAAACACATAGTCAAAAAATATATCTTATTATAAAGCTGTATACATTCTATTTATAACATACAAATAACATATATATTTTTTTGTTTGAATAAGTATTGAAAACTTCATTCACATGAAAAAATAATAGTTAAAAACAAATAAGAGCATGAAAAAAAAACAAGGGTTAAAGTATATTTTTACTTTTGTACTTTTTTTTATGAGTGCTGGACATCATATATTAGTAGGTGAGATATTTTTTCTCCTAAACTCTTTTTTAAAGGAGCCAAAATTCCCTTCCATTAGTAATCAAAGAGAAAGATGAAGAAGAACAATGCACAAAGAGAGGGGATGACACATGTAAAGCATGGACTCAAAATAAAAATTTAACAGTCAAACACCTGTCAATATTAATAATGGGGAGAAATTGTACATTTTTTAAAAGTTTGAAGGGGAGATTATCCCAAAAAAGTTTATGATAACAAGCTCCCTTCATAAAAAGTTTTAAGATATTTTTATCTTTTAACCAAAAAGAAAAAAAAAAAAATGCTTAGAGGTAATGACACCAATCTACCTTTAAAATTTTCACTCAAGCATACCTCATATTCTAATATATTTTTTAGTATAATTTTGCTTCAATGTTTTTCAATTTGGTAGAATTTCGCCTTGCTCTCAACCTTTGACTGCTTTCTTTGAAAATTTCACTGTTTTGTGCCTCACTGGACTGCCACCCCATGTTAAAAAAAAGAACAATTCCATGTAGATATTCAGTCCCCTTCCTTCGTCGTTTGTGTTCTTCACCTCTCCAGTTCTCCTTCCTTTGCCCTTCCTAATCCTTCTTCTTGCAAAGGTCCCTAATTTGCCTTCTCCTTCGAACCCTTCCCCCTTCCCCCTTCCCCATCTTCTTCGTGTTGCTCTCTAGTCCCTCAATACTTCCATCTTTAGTTTGTAAGGACAGCACGGGCCAAGAACCAAGGAGCAGCACACCAGAAATTACAACATACTAGAAATTGAGAAATAAAAAAATTAACAATGTTTTAGAAATCAAACCTAAAGAACATCAACCATCAAAATATATTTCAAACTAGAAGTCCCATAACATATCACAGGAAAAGCTTGTATTAGTCCCACAATACCTATCACAAAAACCATCTTTCAAAAGGAGCAAGAATCCAAAACCCATATGTGACTAATCCATAGAGTTGATAAAAATTCGCGAGGAGTCTGAAAAGCTTGTATCAGGCCATGATCGAACCCAGTATAAAAGAAGCTTCCTGCTTCGTCACAAGTGGAACCAGCGACAGTGGAGTCAACACTTGATTTCAAATTCCAGACTTGTTGAAGCAGACCTCAAAAATTAGAAAAAGGAAAAAAAAAAAAAAAATACTTGGATGAGTATGGCTGATACGGTGTCATAATTAGTGGTGCTTGGAGAGGAAGGCAAATGCGATAGGGGCAATGATTTCAGAGAAGCAATTTGAGGTTCTCAGAGAAGAAGGTAATTGGACTCGACCACTGCTGCTACTCGCTATCTCCAATGAAGTTTAAGGGGAGAGGAGAAGGAGGAAGCGACAGTAATGGTAGACCAAAGGGATATGATTGAAGTGGTCATGGGGATTGGAATCTGAGAAAGAAGAAGAAACGGGAGGGAAGACGTGAACTGCACATGGGCTTGGAAGAGAAAAGTGAAAGGGGCAGGGTAGACAAATGACACGTGAATGCCACATGGCCAACTCGCATGGCATATAACAGTCAATTTTTCAACTTAACAGTCAACATAATCAAACTCTAACCACAGGACAAAATTGTACCACAAAATACTTTAAAATATGAGGTGCATCTGGATGGAAACTTCATGGGCAAATTTGTACTATAACCGAATGCTTAGATATCAAGCTTGATTACCGAAAGACCAAAATTCGACACATAAATACCCAAAAAAAAAAAGCCCCAACAAATTCAATACAACCCATGCTGGCATTCAATCCGTACCCCATCCCTCCAAATTCTACCTTGTATTTTTTCCTAACCCCAAAAAAAAAAAAAAAAAAACTCAACAGTTCAACTCTGAAGCAGTTGGCTGTTACGGCGATGTCCAAATCCATGCCTCAGTTCATTAGATCATAGTCATCCAATTTGTCATTGTACTGTAGAACCTTTCTCTTTATCTTCGATGAATCCACCCATGTGATAAAGTCTTCCATATTTCTGGTTACAAGGAATGCAGGATCAGTGACTGTCTCTGGACCAACTCTTATATGCCCCTGTTCAATGTATGTGACAGCTTCTTTCAAGTACTCGGCAAATTTTAATCGCACCAAAACAGTTGCAAGCCTACGCCTACAAAAGGGGTAAACAAAATTTAAGAACACAAGGGTATAATGTTAATAAAGTAGAACAGCTGAATTATCTCAAAAAATACTTGGATTAGTTCTAAAATCTTTAGAAGTATACTGCACATATCTTCTTCTTAGTCTTCATTTCATAATCTTATTCTAGTTCCCCTGTTGATCATAATTAGCCTTCATTTTATAAAGATGATGCACAAGGTTTCGTCCCTACCACAATTTGTCACTCCCTGACCCCCAGCCTAAGAGATGAAGACGCTTATTTGGACAGCAACACTCTAATCAATACAAATGGCATGTTCATTTGCGGATCAAATATTGGTATTACGTGTATAAACAACGCAGAAGCTGAAGCTCACCATACTGCCATTGCCACTTGTGAAATAAGTTGTTTGGGATCAGTAATAGATAGGTGTGTCACAGGGGCACTCATTATACAGTTCAAAGGATTTCGGATAAAAGTAGGGTAGAACATTGTGGCAATGCACCATATTACCAGCACATGGAAATATTTGATCAAAGCACAGAGCTCACATTTTAAGGGTGTTTATCTAACGGGCTGGGATAATAGATTTAGCTTTTATATGGCATTTGGCTTAGGGCTTTTATGAGGGGACGTCTCTATAAGATATGCAGAAAGATTAAGTAGCTTTGCTGCATAAGTTTATATTCAATTTCTATCTTATAGTTTTAGGTGTTGATATTTCCTTTAGAAGGACATTAGGATAACCCATCCTCTGCGTTTTTTTCCCCTGTGAAAAGGTCAAATACATTAAGACAAAAGATTACCACACCATTTGTGTTAAATTAATTTAGGTTGTCTTATAATTTCTTTTATCCGCTTAAAAATATTTAGGTTGCTGGGAAAGATATATGAGTGGCGAAATTAAGGTTCCCACACCATTTGTATTACATAATTGTCTAGGATTAGTGTTGAAACAACAGGAAAAGAATGTAAGAAGCAACTTAAAAAACATATCTATCCCATAATTTAGAATTTAGTGCTATATATTGCCATCTCTTTTTAGGTTTCTTGTGTTTCTGCACACTAAACTACAGACTACGCCTGTAACAGGTACTAATGTATCATAAATCATAATACCTTCTGCCTTTAGAAGATGACTAACGTTGTTTTAAATATTAAAAATAATTCCTTTTCATTCTCCTGCACTACAGTCATCAGGAATCTTTGGCGTACAAAAATCACAAACTAATAATTAATTTTTCATTTAAAATATTGAAGGAGTGAAATGGTTTTTTCTTACCTACAAAAGGATGACACTGTTAGACGATCACAAAGTGTAATGCTTTGCCTGGTTGGAATCACGCCAATATTGTACCTATCATTCACGTGTGTGTGTGTGTGAGAGAGAGAGAGAGAGGGATAATAAATATCGGTTCTCTGCATTCCAAAATGTAGGTAAAAATGTACCAATGATAGACAATTAATATGACCAAACAATTTCGTCAATCATGTAATTGGAGAGAAAAATAAAAAATTGTTCTGAACTCCAACAGTTAAAGGATGAAAACAATTAATATCTAAAAGCAAATAATAACCTAAAGTCCTTTCATCATCTATCCCTGCTTGTTGCCCTCACATTCATGCACTGCCATCATCATCTCAATACCCAATTATCAACTCCATCACCTCGGCCATCACATCCTCACATTACCATTATAACAACTGCTACAACATCAGTTTTACAGCTACCACCTCCAACATTTACAAATCCCTAAGACTCAAAACAATCCTATCTACCAGCACCCCATGCCATCCCTCTGCCTACTAGGCTTACTGAAGAAATGAGTTGTGAGAGATAAATTAGGGTTTTTAGTCACAATTATTCAACAATGGACATGTCATTTGCAGCCCTGTTCGTGATGAATTTAGGTAATCCAAATGCATGCTGCAGAGGCCAAAAGTAGAAATGAAACTCCTGGATGATACATTGATTAATAAGGAATCGTAGACCAATATTAACACATATTTATATATGTCGTTTCAAAAACAACATTAAATGCAGCTTAAGTCAGTTCACTAATCAAAACTTAGAAATTTCATAGCTAATAAAACTTACAGCTTTTCTAAGAGCTTATCAGCCATCTCAATCCGAAATGGATCTTTTGGTCCATTTGCTTCAGCATGTTGCTTCAGCATGTTTACTAACTTTTGCACCATCCGGCAAGACTTGAATATCTATTGGTATTTTCACCATCCCAATGACCAAAATAAAGAATTGCATTAGTTAAATTTCAAACACAGTAAACTATCCAAATTCAGAACAATGAGAAACATAATTTAACGAAGAATAGTACTTCTTGTAATCATCACGTCCAGTAATATGATAGCGTTGAATAACATGATTTCTCTGTGACCTCCTTCTCTCTTCCACTCTAAGAAATTCACCTTCTTCAATAACTTCTTCTCATGAAACTTCAGTTTCCTCATGGCTTTCCTCTGTCATCAATTCAATGTTCACAAGACACAATTATGCGTATAAAATAAATGCAAATTTGTCAACTGCCTACTTAAATCTGAAGCCTATGAGCATATAGTCATCCTCATATATATATATATATATATATAATTTACAGAGAGAGTGAAAGGAACGCCACACACCTAAAAAACAGCTTTCACGGGGAGTGGCGGCGGAGGAAGTGACGAAGTGAAGACGGAGGCAAAGCCGAGGAAAGACCAGCAGCTGAGGAACGAAGACCAAGTACCAGAGGACGAAGCGATGGAGCGCCAACGCGATGGAGACCGGATAAGCGACGGAGTGGGCCGTGGTAGGGAGGCGGGAAGATGAAAGAAGGGTAAAGGGTAAGGGTGTAAGCTTTTTTGTTTGGTCGGGTCGAAAGTGTTAAGGATCGGGTATGGGCGCACACTAGCCGGGCATCAAGCCTGATGGCTGGTGATCACTTGTTTTGAGTCGGTTTTAGCCCACCCCAAAGAAATATTTTAACAAACTTTAAAACTAAAAGTGAGTGAATGAAAAATGATTTTATATATAAAAAATATAGGAAGGATAAGATTAAAAAGTCAAAACTGAAAATTTATAAGAATTAGATTTCTAATAATTTTTTTAAAATAAATTATAAATATAATTTATAATTTGAAATTTCATTAAAAAATAAAAATTATATTTAAAATTTAAATGTTTATTTGTATTTTGAATCTTAAATTTAGAATAATCTCAATTAATATTTATAATAAATTTTTTAGATACTTGATTGTCATAAATTTATTGTTTTGAAATTTTATTTTCATTCTCTCAAAATATAATTATTATAATTTAAAATGTATTTTAAAATTAATATATAATTTTATATGTAATTATTTTTATAATTTTTGTAGATTTTATTTTTAATTCTGATAACTTTTTAATTATAGATCTTTATAATAAAGGTCACTCAACTTATTGAAATTAGAGAGATGGAAAACATTTAAAAACTTAAAATTCTATAATTTAAGTGATGGTTGTGTGATGTAATATTAATAATTAATAATTAATAATTATTAATAATTTTACAACAATGGTCGAAACTGAATCCAAGCCGTTGGATTCGTTTTGGTCTAATTGACTTCATCGGCCGTCGTGGCAAATTTCCCCGTGGTTTCAGGCGAAGAAGACCGCGCGTAGGAGGTTCTCTGCTTCAGCCTTCGCCAATCACTCCTCCATGGTCTAGGTTACGGCTTCTGAGGATTTACCGTGTCAAAGATTCTAGCCATGGCGGCAAAATTTCTGTCTCTGTGCTTGCTTCTATGCTTGGTGTCCGCTTGTCCTTTTCTGGTAACAGTTTGTGGCTTATTCGATCTACTATATCCATTCCTAAATGATTTGGTCTCTAATTCTACTTTTTCTTATAAACCTCCAATTCTACTTTTAATCCTGAGTAAAACTTGGCCCAACGAGTTTTGAGCAGAAACCTGGTCTTGCTGCTGGAAGATGGAGGAGCTATTCTAGATTTGAACTTTATGAGCTTATTCTCTTTGTCTTTCTCTCACTGTGTAAAATCTAGTAACTACACGTTTTAATACATTGTCTCCAGTTTCTTGTTAACAGATGGGGGTTTTAGTTTCTGAGACAAAGCATATTTTTTCGCACTTCGGACGGTTAGGCTCACTAATGAAGTCGCAAAAGTCCATGCTCATATCCTTGTTATTATTATTAGTGTTTTAAAATTATTGTAGTTCATATATTTGATTATAAAAGGTTAAGATTCATGGCCACAGTGAAATTTGAGCCTAATGATAACATTTGAAACTTGATAACAAACTTTTTAAACTGTGTCTAATGATAACATTCTGGAGTTCGTTATTTTACTAATGAATGTGATCCCTAAGTGATATTAAACCTCTATGCTTTTCGTACGTTCTATTCCTTTAAATTTTGATATATTTGTGGATAATTTTCGCGACTTACAAGTTATGCGCAAATAGCTCTTTGATGTGTTATGCTTCTGTTCAAGGTGTGATATTTGCAAATTTTATAGCTTGGAAAAAATTCTCTGTCAAATTTTGAAATTTGAGGGGTTCTATGCATTTTGGCATTATAAAAATAAATTACAAGGATGATTAATTGTGTGAAGGGGGGTCTTTTGTAATTGGGTAAAGGAAGCACACGTTTTAGGTTGGAAATGTTTGACTCAATCTGCAATCTCAGATTTCAATTTAGCAATCTAACAACTGAGTTTTTGGCTCTAAGTCAATTCTATTTTACGTATCAGTTTATTGAAGCTATCCTGGTCCACTGTGATAATGGTCCTGTTTGCCTAACTAAGCTGCATGAGCTCTCTTCCAGGGATCATCGAATATCAAACTTAAATGGGTTCTGTATCCCTGAGAGGCTGAGTCATCTCACTACATGTTAGCTCCCCACCTTGCTTGTTTTCAAAAGCTTATAATCATTGGAGAGGTTTCTCATCCAATGTCAAGCTTGCAATCACCATTAGGTTATTTTCTGGTATTCTGTCGGACAAGAAGTGTTCACTCTTAGTCATCCATCCCTCAAGTTCACACCATCTGAGTGGATTTTGGAAAGTCAATCTTTGTAAATCTCATTTGTTCCTGGTAATTGGCTGTCCTCTGGAATAAAATTGGTCCTAACATGTGGTTGTTCTTGTCTCCGTTCATGGATTAATTTGCTCTACTATAATGTAAGGCCTAGTATCATCTCTTGCAAGTTGTTGATCTGATTCTTGATTTGAACAACCTTGTCTGCTACACCTTCAATTGTTCTCTTGCTGAGCTTCATAGTTATTCCATTGCACTCTTCAATCATTGTTCTATATATTTTATTGACACTAGCATCTTGCAGCTTCCATCAGAGATATGTGAATTTCCCACTTTGATACCCTTTGGATTTATGGGTATCGAAGGAGAGGGGAGATGAGAGAAGAAGGGGGGTATAGCAATGAGAGAGGAAAAATGAGTTCAGCTATTTCCATTTTGATACTCTCTAATTTTTTTGCAAATCATTTGTGACTAGTATACTGGAGCCCAAGTATCATATCTCCTCAGCTTAACTAACTTCAATAGATCATGT